GGCCGACTATCTCTTCAACTCTTTGGTTTGCACTGATGCAAAAACTCATTATTTTTTGTAAAATGTAGGGAGTCGAATCTCCATGTCCATGTCCATTATGAGGATTTTTTCTTTGGAATTTTTCGTACATCAATGATTTGACAGAGGGATTTACACTACCGCTATCCAGTTGACGAATAATTTAACCCCATAACTTGGTGTAATCAAAACTACTTCATCACAGTACATCTTTTGAAGGTGACGATTAGGGCTGGTCGACGCAATCGTGGTGGAAGATCTGACCTTACCCTTGCCCGACCGAAGGGCACCGTACGCGCGCATTTACAACGCAACATACGCAAGAAGTTACGATTCCTACCTACTTTTGGAGACACTCGGGGGTACCGTGTGGCGCTAATACAACTCGCAATCCCCCTTCTTTAGACTATTTTCAATATTCACAAGGTGAAATGATATTCCATGCGATCAGCGCACGTCGGCCGACGGTTTCCATTGCCCAACCTTTGCACTGACACTTCTTCCGAGATCTCGACTCTACCAGTTTCACGGTTTGCTCAGTGCGCTCCCACGTCGCGCGCATTAGACAAATTGATCCTAGCTCAGCCGGCTCCTCTTTATTCTGTGTTTCTTCGTCGGGTTCATCTCAAACATTCAATTTTGCTATGTTTCAAGGCTTGATAACGATATAGAGCTAATATTTGGTAGCTTCTAAAAATGGAAGTAACGATGAAGTTTTGACATTGGTATTCGATTAAGCAATTCACGGCGATATCTATTGCATTCCGTAAAGAAAATTATCACTTTGTTTTTTTTTGTTGTCAGCTTGCAAAGTTCTTGAAGAAGTAAAAGAGGTGCCGTTTGCATGAAGCAGCTGGGGGTTTGACGAGCTTTTTTCAGCAAACCTCTCGAAATTACAATCAAGAACAAACGCAGATATTGGATCGCAAACTCAACTTTGACGAGAAACTCAAAATACTCGAAAGATTAGCTATTTAACTCAGCACAGCTTGTTATAAATAATAATAATTAAGAACTAATCTCAGCTTGCTAACATACTGAACATCTTGATTTCACATCTTGTCCAAAGTCTAACATGTTTTTGGATCCTTCCTTTTTTTCTCACATTATCGTAGGCGCTGTGGCGGATATTATAATCCTTCAATGAAGTACATCCACAATCACGCAGCGCATAGACCTTTGACATTTGTTAGTTCAGATAGACATATCACGTGTTTAGTACATGATCATAAAAATCAGAAGATACATAGAAGATGCATCTCAGTAAAGCATAAATCATGTCCTCAGTAATCGGCATTCCGGGAATGAAAGAAAATTTCTGACCCACCTAGCATCCCTCTGCTGTTATTTTTTATCTAGTATGGAAAATATTTTTCTTACTTTTCATTCTCCCTCTACAAGTTCTAGTCCAAGCTTGAGTTCAATCCTAGTCAGTGATCAAAACATCGTAAGGGAAGCTTATAGTCATGGATGAATAATAGTGTATCACGTCAAATTCATGGCTAAAGCACGAGACTGTACCATGCAGTTTGCCATGGATAAAACATAGAAGCACGGCTGTACATACATGCTATACCATTCTCTTCTTTTTCTTTTATAATCGTTCCGTGTGTTCATTCTGTGGTGGTGAATTTCATATTGACGCTGCAGTGCATGCTAGCATTTGTCTTGCAACGATTTTGATTATCTCATTACGAACAGTTTTTCCATAAAGTTCTGCTGATTTTGCGAAAGAAAATCGCCAACGAACATGAACACGTTTTTTATTATTCTATTATTCAAGAGAGAGAGAGCAGTCCAATTTCTGGAAATAGATTTCTGAGCTAAATCTGACACGGGACTGGTTACGATATGAACATTTTGCCAGGGTATTTCAGCATTTCTCATACTGGTTTACGAATTACTGAACGTTGAAATGACTTCTCATCATTCGAAAAGCCTGCTTGAATAATTTTTTCTTACTCATATATCTACCGGAGCCTAATCCATAGCAAATTCTATGTACCTTTCGTTATGTAAAAAGCGTTGTTTTCTGAACACTGACTTCTACATTCAAAAGATTCTCTGAGTCGTGTGCAGATGCGAAATCAGCGGTAATCTGCAAAGCTCTACCAAAGGTTGGTAATCACAGCACTCCCTTATCGCGAACATATACCAGAGGTATTGAGGTTGTGCACCTCATAGTTGTACCGCATAATTGAATTCACTGATATTGTCACAGTCTGAAGGCTGAGCTCCAAGTAAATCTGCCTTGGTGCAGCTAAAGAGAAGATGTTTTCAGTAGATCCATAGATTAGATAATGTTTTCGAATTAGATCTTTTGAAGATCCTTGCTCTATCAGTCTTTACAGCTTCTTTGTTGCATAGTTGACTAGCGCGGAACGCGCAGGGACTTTTGCAAGCTACTAGGTTGTTTTCGCAGTTTTTTGAATTCTTGAAGCTGGCTCTCAAAATATCTGTTTATAACTAGTCACATTCCCGTTGTCGTCGATTTAGTTCATTCCAAATGAACAAGGCATTGAATTGTTCTGCAGTGAGAATTTCCAGAGATTTTGCACACATATTTAATTTCGACCAACGCTTAGACGTACACTTTTAGAAGATTGGTCATAATAAAGACAACGACATAATAATAATAAAGACATACTATTCGACGGCAACTGTCTCGACGAGTGGTGCGGCTTGGTTCTGCTAAAATCTAGGCGCCTCCTTTGTGGTAATAACGTTTTGCGTTTCCTAGCATGAATTATGGTGCACCTTGTACCAAAAGTGTTTTTGGATCTCCTCATCAACCATCACTACTAAAGAACATTTCTAATGGACTGCTTCGTTCTCAATGGATGAAGATAAATTGAGATATTGTCTTTCAATGTTATTGCAAAAGCAGAGCGTTAGAGCAATTAGCATACATGCTGGAATAAGTCTCTAATGTCTTCAACAATGATCCAAGTGTCACCAAATTCCAAAATTTTTCTTGCGCTTTGTACCGTGCTGCCAAAATTTAACGAAACCTTTGATTTCTGTTTCGTTTGACAAGTCCCCAAAACTTGGTGCTTTTCTGAGATCCGCGAACTGCGACGATGGGGACTATACCCGCATCACATGCTTCGCCCTGTGACCCTTGCTTTCTGATGCCGAGCATCGTAACAAAGTTGTGGACGCACGTGATCGCTGCCGTTGCGCTTGGCCGCTGCCGGCGCGGCGCCAACAGCCGGTTGGCAACTCGCGGCGAAGAGGGCAGTTACGGCGGCGAGCCATGCTTGTTACAACCAAGACGGTCGCCGACGGCTCCACTCATTTTTCATCGGCGAAAACCCCCCATTCTCGTTTTACTTCGCTTTTTGCTTGACCTCATACCACCACTCTAAATTTTTTCGAAAAAAATAGAAACCAAAAAATTTTTTGCAATTCAGCTGTAACTGGCACCAACTCTGCTGACAACTTGCTGATGGTCTTTTTGTTTTACCTAATCAGGTTCGTGAGTCATCGCTCGAATTGTTGCTCATCCGAATGGGCGTCTCCACTTGAGATAAACACTTTCAATTACCCATACACGTATTTTTGCTTCACAACTTGCTACTTTAGTTATCGAACCTTGAGCAATTATCATCTCTAAATGACACATCTTTTGCAAGTGCATGCTTTGCTTCTTTCTTTTCTGCTCAGGCAGTGCATCCCTGCAAAAGTAGCACACGATGTTGTTGTGTTGTTCGCTGATTGATGAACGTTCACTCCCAATCTTTGGACATGCTTTTCATTGAAGAGTGATAAATTTAGCAACACATGTGCGATCAGCTTTGAAACCTCAGAGAACTCAGTGCTGTTAGCTTACTTGATTTGGAATCGCTGAGGCTTCTTCATAGATCTTGTCTTCTGCATGTTTGTGCCATGATAATTTTGGAGCTATTGCTCATGTATCTGGTTCATTCATTCCCCTATTTATTTGCTCCGTACGGTTTGGGAAGTGTGAACACTTGTCCATTAATCAAATATGATGCTGAATGAGTACCGATGGTTTCGATTAGAAGTTCGTAGGTACTAATCGGTTCTTTTGGCAAAATCTTCTTAAATTATGACGATGTCAGCCTCCTTACCTCTTATCCTCATTTTATACCTAAAAAAATGGAAAGCAGAGTTAGGGATACTTCGTGGAAAACTTATTTTTAGAAATCTCCTTGCTGTTATTCTTCGTATACTACGATCTCACTCAAAATCACACCAATTCCTATTTTAAACATATTATGAAAAACTTTTCAAAGAAATTGGGCACAACTGTTTTGGTGGACATGTAGACGTATTATGAACTGCTTCTTCCAGATTATTTTATCGATAATTATCACATGAAAACGCAGTAATAAGCTGCTTTGTGTTTGGCTGTAAGATGATTTATTTTCATGCGAAGATGTAAGCCAACGAGAAAAATTCATACTCTCATTATGTTGCTGAGGTTTTTCTTTTCCCTACTCACAATTAGATTTTGCGAACCGCTAAAAACTCCTGTCTTTTGACGAGTTTCTTTTTTTTTGTTTCATACAATTGATAATGTATGTGAGTTGGGTCGATTGTGTCTGCAAAATCTGCGCTGGAGTTCTTAGTAATTTTGTCTTTTCTTGGAAAACAAGAAACTCTCAAGGAGCGTTGCCATTTACGCTCGTTCAGTGCAAAGCGTTACTCCAAAGCGCACAAGGACATCACACAGTATGTTTCACCTCTCAGTACAGACACGCACTTTCACGACTGATTGTCTCAAGCGAGTGACTTACTACATAGCTCTGAGGTTTGAAGGACGACACAAGACGGTCGTGGTGTGTGCGAGTGTACGTTGCGTTGATAGCTACCGTAGTAACGATTCGATCACGCTACACTTCACCCCCCAAACCACCATCGTCGGCCCGCTTACCCCGGCGACTCAATAAATTCTCGCCCCTCCAGTCCGACAGTCATTACGGTATCCGGGGAGGACCGTTTCCATTAATTAGGGCATGGGCGGCGGCCAAGAGCCGAAATTTGGACCACTTGTTGATATAATATTGCGCTGCAGTGCAAAAATATTCAGGTATTAGTAATTGCCCTTTTTCGAGGAGTTATTGTACTTCTCTGCTTCTCTTTATCATCCTGTGTAGCTGTTGGTTCTCATATCATGCACCAACTTTACTTTTACTTTGATAATAACATCACTTTGCATAGAAGGAGCATCCATAACTTCTTCTCGCTGTTTTTCGTTGCATTAATTATGCATGCACTGTTGGCACATTACACTCGTGACGTGCTACACACTCGTTTTCCGCGGACTTCTGATCGATTATATGCTCGTTTCTGGATCGGATCCAGGCTCAAAGCTCGTGCCTGACCTCAAATTATCACTGATTTAGGTCAGTGTCGGGAGAGGTTCAGGGGCGCCACACATTCCTGTTGCGAACATCGAGCGATCACCCTTCTGGGTAATCTCGAGAAGGTGATCATAGCGTAAACAATCGCATATAGCACACTATCGAGATTATTTGATTGGCCTAGAAAAAATAGTTTCAGGTCGTCACTAGGAACGGCTCGATGCTCCGACATTTGCTCACCGATACTCCAGACATGAATGTGCCAAATAACAGCGGAATGGTTTGTTTTAATCTTCATTAACTTTCATCAGTCCCTATTGGTGAAGGTATCTAATCACTTGGAAGATCGAGGTCAACCATGTAGCTTTGGAAACAGATTTCCGAATTAATCTCTATAATATTTGATTTTTTGCATATTGATCAAAATGGCTTGATATCGAAGGTTTTGCCCTTTTCTAAGTGAGTAAAGTTTCAAACAAAAAAAAAACAGTCCTCTAGGACGACTGCTTGAAAAGGCGACATATGGCAGTCAACTTTAAAGCTTATCAGGAAAACAGTGGGAGGGATACAAGGGCTTCTGCATATCATCGACACTCAATGATCTTCGTCTAACGATGATTTGATGATTAAGAATTCAAAGGAAAAGTGTGACTGCCTCGGTTCTTCAGCGTACGACTGCATGCATGTTAATGAACGATCACTTTTTCTACAAATAACGATTGCATGGACGAAATATATTCACTCGACTTCTAGCTTTATAAGTAACTTTCTGTTTACTTGAGTACCAAGATAACGTTGCCTTCTTTATCACGTTCGCTGAGTGAAGCGATACAGCGACTATCAACGGATTTAATGTGTAAGCCAGAAAGCACCATCTAAGAAAGAAGAGTCAGTTTTTGTTGATTTGTAGATACGATGACATTATGATCATCGTAGGGGATAGTCCTTGCAATGGTTTCTTAGTAGACCCTAATTGCAGAAGAGTGATAACATAAAAAAAATTGATGTGGTCAGGGTGCCTCCATACCGCGCCGACAGCCGCCGCTGGCCGCCTGTAGCCGCTTTTGCGCACTATCCCAGTATTTCAAGGCCTTTCCAAAAAGTTAAAGGAGTATGCTATTTGTAATAAAAATGTCGAATAACCCCACTAGACATCTGAGCAAGATTTGTAGTTTGGATAATGGGATCTAATGGAATAGTGCTCAAAGGCGGTTAGCGGCGACTGCCGGCGCGGTATAAGCACCCTCAGACTTCATCCTCTGCGAATGCCAACTTGGATTTTCCTTGCAAGGTACATCGGGGGTAGAAGAACTTCAAGTCAACCTAGCTTATGTTAACTGTGGCGGAAATTTTTCAATTGCACTCGTACCATCCCATCCTTTTGAAAAAAAAACTTTGGATAGTGCATTCGCTAAAAAGTGCGACATTATTGTTCAAAAAACTAGCAGTAGTCCCAGAGACATCAAATTCTTCTGAAAGCTACAATAAGAATAACAGGGATTGAGACTGCTTTTTTGTGGGCAGAAACTGATCTCCATTTATCTTCGTTATAGCCTCCTGTAGCACATTCTGCTTTGAAATCAGCTAAAATCACACACTCCCATGACTGCCGCAACTTCATGTCCCTATGTCAAATACAAAAAAAATACTGGATGTAAAAGAAAAACATGTACGTTTTTCTTTTCCTACTATTTTTTCTTGCGAAAGGGCAAACTGTTGCTTTTGTGTGAAACACTCGGTAGTTACTGGAGTTGCTTTTTTTGCTTCAACTTGTTCAATTCGAGTTTCTCTTCTTCTTGAGTTCCAGTGGTGTTCACATCATTGCGAACTACTATGTAAGCAACTGCACTTTTGCTTAGTGCGCTTTTCTAAAGTATCGAAAAGGGTGTGCCCTTAACCCTGATGCGTCTTGGTAACTATTTTCATAGCAACCGAACCCATACCCGTACGTGACAGCGATCTGGCTGTGTACGGTGTCGGAGGCGCTGCAGCTCGCGTCGTCGACGTCGCCACCGCGCGTCCTTGGGCCGCGTCACGATCCCGATGGATAAATTAATAGAGTTTTCACTGCCCGTCCGACAACCTGATCGCGATTGATCGTCGTCCACAACGCGTCGATCGTATCGCTTCATTCTGCGGTTCGTCGTCCGTCGACCTTACCGCAACGCGGTAGAGAATTTTCGACTGGTTTTTGCCACTCGCACACTTTTTTATAAGCGCCCGTCGCTGAAATGTAACGTCCGGCCGTCTCCGAGACATCGGACAACAGTTTGAAGGACAGCTGGAACCGAGAGCGAGTGTACAATTCGATGTATCAAAATAAAAAAGAGCAAAAAACAAAATGTTGAGGGAAGTGAAGAGGTACATATGTCGAAGAGTAAACAGCTGTCTTTCTCGAAGAAAGAATAGCGCATTATTGGAGAAAATTTCTGGGTGAAAACCAGCTCAACAGCCTATCTGCGATCAAAAAGTAAATGTCGTACTGTGGAAATTGATCTTGGTAAACTCTAAATATCATTTTTGATGTACTCGTGCAAAGATAATAGATTTTATATTCAAAAATTCCCCGAAACTTACGTCTTTGTATGTGATATTTGAGCCAATCAAACGTAGTGGAAAGAAGTCTTGGCAAGAATATTACATGAGGCCATCTTTAGCTTCTGGATCCACAAGCAAATTGAGAAACAAATTTTTAATTTTGAGAAGACAAAATCTGAAATTAACTTTCATGCTCATCCAGAACTGCAGAAGGGCTGCTGAACACTGTCTGAGGGATTTTTTCTTTGAGAAATTGCATACGTGAGAAATTCGAAAGTCTAAAAAAAATCACTTCAAGATCTACCTTGGAATGCTAGATTTTCTGGCATATCATGTCTATTCCACTTTAGAAGCAAAATCAGCTTTAGAATTTATAAAATCCTGGGTTTTTACCTAAGTACGAAGTAAATGTAAATCTTCCAGGTTCTTTCCTCTCCTAGTATGGATCCTTTCCAATGGCAGCAATATCCACAGCCCGGAGTCTCCTCTTCCGTATCCGGAACATCAACGTCCGAACTTTTTAGGTACTTCTATATGAACTACCCTCCGAGCCGTACTTTTTTTTGCATATATAATGTAGACAAATTACTCAATAATCATTTCAGTTCAACATATGCGATGTTGAGCGACACTGCCTCTGCGCCATACCCTGACCAATGGCACGAAAACAAATCAGGTTTGCTTTCTCCTGACTTAATGGACAACAGTTCTTACTCAGAACTGGAACTAATTAAAATTATAGCAGTAAATTGACGAAAATTTTCTTGCGCTTCCTGGTGATTCTAATCTCTTTTCTAAACAATACCCCCTTCCCCGAGAATGAGTGGCGAAAATTTTGAAAGCCACCTTTGATATAAAAATCTGCAAGTGACTTATTTACATTTGTAAGTAACTGAAACAATTTTTGCAACTTTTCAAAAATCTCATAGCATTATGAAAATATTTTTGAGAGGATGTGGCTGCCGCCACGCCTCTCAAAAATATTTTCCTCAAAAATTAAACTTTTCGGATATCGTCCCTCACCCCCTCTCCGAACAGAAATCGTGGGACCGCCACTGGCAGACATATATGGATTGCTTGATATACTTATCACAGGAACATTCTTATTTTACAAATTGTCGGTTGTTTAGATTGTGAGTCCACGTTTTACTTTGATGCCGTGCCTGGACCTTATGCTCAACAATCAAATAACATGTACTACCCGATGCATGATCAAAGGTCAGTCCATATCGGTGGAAATTCTCATCAAAATAAAAATAACTGTAGGATGCTTTTACAAGGGAAGGCACCTAACTTATTCTGCCTTTGATGTACATCACATATGTTCGGAATTAGTCTGAAATATCGAGTATGAATATGCTCTCCCTAATTACAAAGCAGTGATAAGAATTTTTGGGCTTTTTCTAAATGTGCGTACTTATTGAATTACTGTTATCACCATATATGTGATGGTCGCATAATGCTCTTTGTGTGCTTATTGAATTACTAATGCTCTCTAACAACAAAAGACTTGATCTGGTGCTATCTCATTACAAGACATCTCATTACAAGACAAAATAACTGCAGAACGTTCTTACAACCAGTTTCCTTCTTGCAGTGTTCTCACTTTGGAGATGCTTTGTAATAGTTCTATATGGCGCAGAATCAAATTCGGTTCGAATGAAGCAGAAATAATCGAACATATTTGGTCTTAGTGTTAGCATTCCAAAAGTTCTTAATGTTTTCAGGCAGTTTTATCTGGTTAAGAAATCCGTTTGACTGCGCAATTTCTGCACAAAGTTTCTTCGGAAAAATAAACATTGTACTATGCGATATAGACGTTCAAACCTGAATATTGGCTGCATGATAAATATTTTTGCTTTATACTTTGAACAAAACTTCAGCTACAAGTAGAAATGCTTGCGCCAAGTTCTTCTCCTGGAATCGATAGCAATAAATTGCTCAAGTTCTCAGGCATGAACAAGAAGTGCCTGATAGCCTATTTTGGCGGAACAAATTATGCTCAGCACTGGTTTAGGAGCCTCGTTGTTACAACTTCAAAATCCTGTCATGCATTCTGGGTTGCCTTTCTTGGACTTTTTTTCTACAAAAGCGAGCATCAAAAACTTCAAAAGAACCAAGTAACTCGAGATGTAGAATGACGGCCATTTGCGAGGCGCGGCATGCGACCGAGCTGCTCGGTCCAACAAAACAAAAGTGCGTCATGTCTAATGAGAGGTTTTACTCTTCAACTTCCAGCAACCGACATTTCTTTCCACTGTTTGTCTTTGCGCGTTATTTATATAATAGCCGAATGTATGACACTCTGCATTATGCGCGTATGAATAAGTCATTTGCACGCTTATAGAACTCGTGTTAGTAAGTTCAAAAATTTCGCGACCCATTCTCGGGGGGGGGGTAAGAGGCCCGCCCTTACCTAGGTCCGCCATTGCGAGCATGGCCCTTTGCATGTACTATAGTATGGGACCGGGGAGGAGGCGGAGAGGTGGAAGTTGGCAAGGCACTAGCTGAGGCGTGAGGACAGAAGTGTTTTCTGTATGATTTTGGGTCAATGTTATGGTAACATAACTTAAACTGAAAATACCGAAAAAATTGAGGCTTGTAGTAAAGCAGCCTCAGTTGAGCCTTGGGCGAGTCAGCTCTGCGTCGTCAGTCTGCTTTCGACATTTCCTCGGTTGTAGATTGGCATGTGTTGTAAGTTACTCAGGAGTACGTTTCAAAAAGTTTCTCTGCATTTCATTATTCATACACATTTGCGACGCTTGACGTCTTCGCTAAACGTGAACTTGCACATGTGGTCGACCTCTTCAGTTGGACGGACGGTCCAATGCCAGTTCTGCATTTTTATAACATGGGAAAGGGGGTGTCGTTATCTCACCTTATGGAACTTTAAAGACATTCAATTTAGATCGCTTGAAGTAACCAAGCTTTACTACGCGCATATCTCGAAATTGAATTTACCCATGCCCATTAGGGATATAGTTGAAAGTATGAGATGCAGCAGGTGATATAAACTGTATGCTGCACAAGCGCAGGAGTCATTCATTGTCTTTACCTAACAAATAGTAGTATCACATTATAAGCGCAGAAACCGAGAATTTTAGCCGAAATCAACTTTTTTCCAGGTTTCAAACCTCGTTCAACGATTCCTACCTTCGCGTAGCTCAGCAACATTATGAACCTCATGTGCAATTGCCTGTTTCGGAATCCATTCAGATCACTGCCAATTATCCCATGCATTTCGCTCAGCACCAGCACAATCTAAAAGTTGAAGTAAGTGCAAGATTCTTTGTTCTATTCCAATCACTTAAGCTTCCTTCACTTCAGTATCCTCAATCAAACGCGCTGTCAACAGCAACGTCCATGACACAGCAAGCTCCACAGACTGCCCTGCCAACTGCTCCGCTGCCACGCCCTTCTACCGTATCACCATGTGAGCAAACAGCTTTGAGCAGCCCAACACTTACTTCTAACAGTGGATCCACGTCGGAGACGCCTCCCATGGCTGGCGAAGTGATATCCACTGACCTCGAGGTGATTATGTTAAACGCTTTGTTACCAAGCACCAATTTTCGCCTACTCCAACAAAGGGTGTTCAGTGAAGGCCCATTTCGCGCTCACAAACCTGTTCACTTCATGTTGTTTCCTCTTTGAGCGAAAATTCAAGAGCAGCGGCCCAAAATTGCAAGTGGATGCAAAGTAAAAACTGTAAATGAGTACCGCTGCATGTTCGAGCAAGCAACGTGAAGCTAAAATAGAACTGAAAAAAGCCTGCGCCAAACTATCTTTGAACTCTTGTTATATGTTGACTTCAGTAGCGAACCGAGGGGGAGGGGGCGTAAGGGAAAAAGAAGTGGGCGTCTCTCCCCTATTCCCCGAGAATGGTTGCAAAAGCCTACATGGTTATGGATTTGCGCAAATGACTTTTTTCCTTTATAAATGATTAAGATATCTCTTAGGATTCAAAAATCTAGACTGACCTTGCAAAAAATTTTCTGGGCATGAATAGGGATTATAGGTCCGCAGTTCCAAGATCCGAGGGCATGGCCAAAGTCGCGCCTCTTCTTTAGAAAAAAAAGCTTCCTGTTGCGTATCCCTTCTGTCTCGAAAAAAATTTTGTTCGGGACTGCCACTGGTTGACTCACATGTAGCAGTGGCAGTCTGGTCAACTTCAGGAGGGGGAGGGGGAGAAGGAAGGGGCGCGACAGGTTTTTTTTTCGAGTGGAGAGGTGTGGTTATCACGCTTTCATTCGAAAAGGATTATAATTTGCTAAGCAATGGTATTTCCATCACTTTTTATCCTTTGAACATTAAATGTTACGGATTTACGGACATGCTGGAAAAACCTATTAGAATCAAAATAGCTGGACATTGCCTCGACGCTATCTCGTTCTTTCTGCAGGGCCCGGACAATGAGCGAGTCATGTGTATGGCCTGTAGAGGTGTATATCCGTCGCGAAGAAGTTTGACTGGACACATCGGAAGGAATGAAAAATGCAGAGAGATAATAGGTGAATGGATGTTTTCAGTAATGTGATATGACACGATGCTTCTTATATGCATCTTAATCTCCTGTATAGTTTTAATTTTACAAAAAGCGAGGAAAATTATTCAGGTAGGAATTACCTGGACCAGGTCGCCATGGGTGCGAATCCGATTGCTCCGGGAACCGAAAATGCAATCAAAGCTGGAGCGCTTACCAACGGGCAGGATGGTCTCAGTCCAATATGTCCTCATTGTGATCGATTCATCAGTCATTACAAGGTGCGTTTTGTTTGATGCTCACAACCGTTGGTTTTCTATTTCGTTATTGGAAAAGTTTGCCTGTAGCTCAGTACAAGATAGTACAGGGTAACATTCGGCGGCACATCAATCAATGCGGTAAGAATGACAGTCCACAAAAGAGACCTCGTCCTGACAAGGATAGAAGAAGGGATGGAAAGAAACGTCGACATGACGAAACCATGCTTCCGCACGTTCTTCACGAAGGATTCGATCCTGGTAACAAAAACCTACTCATCCAGTTCGACGTCCAATTGTCATGATTTCAGCCTCCTTAGGCCAGAATGGTACAATGATGGGGTCACCGGTGATGTCGCCTTCTTTAGGCTCGTACCAAACTCATGAGCAAGAATTTATAGACAATACCATGTACATGACTGGACCTTCATTAGATCAGGTTAGTGGACTATACAAACAATTAAAGAATCGACGACCTCCTGTCATATACTAAGCAGTCGAAAAGAATCGCTAATATACACGCAATATTTCACCTCTAACTAGCGGCTAAACAACGTTTTCACATTGCAAAAATTTGGTTGTACAGCTTTGACAGCGTTAAGGGTTATCTATTAGGTTGTCCCGAAAGTTTTGTCGGTTTTTTCAAACCACTAAAAAAGCATGCACAATGAAGACCTGAATGAGTTTCAACATGCATTCGATGCAATTTTTCCTTCTCTTTCTTATGGTTACATTTAAAAGCCAAGATCCTGTATGGTTCTTTTGATAATTGCCACAAATCTTCACTCGTCATTTTTATCTGCTCAAAGTTAGGCTAATTTTTAAAAAATTCCATTCCAAAGTTTTGGAAAGGACTAAGCATGGCACAAATAGAACAATTCTCGGGCTACACGGTAATAATTTTGGATTCTCCCAAATTGCTGTTTCTAGCTTTAGAGAATTTTTTTTTGGAGATCTCGATTTCTGGCAAAACCATGGAATACGCAACTGCGGCAAAAACATGAAAGCTTTCGGAATTTTTGCGAATTGAAACTTGATTGCTAATAAACATTATTTAGCAACATAACTAAGTTTAATTTGCTTTGAAAAATCAGCTTTTTGGAATTTTCGGTAATTTTACGTGGTAGACATAATCAAAAAGCCGTGGTTTTTTTCAAATAAATAACTATTTAGGATTTGACAAAAGTGACCCATGTAATCTAAAATAAGTGTAATGTAGCCGAAGAATGGCTCTACATAACAGTTATTAGCGCCTTTCGAAAGTAGCAGAAGAAAAATTTTCAAAATTCAGAAAAGATTTGGCGTTACTGTTGAGCTGCTCAAAAAGCCATGGCGATAACATTGCGAAGACAGGGTAGATCAGAGAGCAAACATAGCTGTAAGAAAGAGGATGAAAATCTGAATCAAATGATACTTAGACCTTCCATGAATTGGTGTTCTGCGGGTTTTAGTGAGCGATGGAAAAAACCGACAAAACTTTCGGGACAACCTAATATATCGAATTGTTTTGCATGCAATTCTCCTCAAGACTGCTTGGTTCTATACCGATGTGTGAAAAATACGATTGTATTTATAAGCATTAATATTTACATCATTTTAATCATTTATTTATAATCATCAGTAGTCAGCACCAAAATTATTGTTTTACAGCATATTCAACTGCCTAGCGACCCATCACCTCCTGGTGCTCCCCGCAAAGAGGCTGATCCTCCTGAGGTTACTACTGCTTTTTTTCCGCACTACAGAGTCACTCTCGATTGACTTAGTTTAGAGTTATGAAATAGTTAATGCCTCCAATCATTGAAGCTCGCGCATTTGCAGGATGCCTATATCTGTGATAGCTGCGAGTTCGTCACCATTTACAAAGGAAATATGAAGAGACATCTCAATACATGTCACCCAGCTCCTGATTGTAAAGATCTCAAAGGTAGTCACGTGTCTTTGTTAGCAGTAGAGTTCCTTCGCACTGTGTTTAGAAAATGCGTTACTTGAAAAAAGCGTGTTTCTATGTCTTTACTAGATAGCAAGTATAGTTTAATTTCAATGTTGCAGAATGGGATCGTAAGCTAGAAAGCATGCGCGCATCAGTATTGGGCATGAGTCGCGTGGAAATGATTGAGAGACTGAATGCCCATAAGATGAATTCCACGAGAGGTCGGAAGCCACGAGGGAAGAAAAGCGATGAGAATGCGCAGGTGGGTAGGCCTTTATTTTTTTGAGCACATTAATAATTTTTGAGACTTCTCTTTCATTTGTATTGGAACCAGTCATGTTTGAAAACGCTCGAAAAATTGATTAGAATTTTTATTTGAAAATTGTACTATACTATCGAAGCTTTTCACGAGTTCATTTTTCTTAACATTCACTTTCCTTGAAACCTTGTCAACGTTCTTTTTGCAGGCAATGCTGCAATCTGATTTTGCGCAGATGCACTACAATTACGAAATGATGGCAAACTTCCCACAGTTGTGAATTCCTTTTCTACTCGCTGCTCAAACAACTTTGCAAATACTGCCGTTGATTGTCTTCTCTTTTTTGCTTAATCATATCTGTCGCTCCATATCTTGGCGTTTCCCATGTCAATTTGAAAATCAGGGATTTTGCTCCGCCTTTTCTTTGCTCAGCCAGTATTTCTATATCCTCGTTGCGTTTTTGATCAACTTTGATGGTATCTAGGAACTTTGTAGTTTTTTCGTATGCCGCTTGTAAATGGTTGGAGTCATACATGAAGATGTAGAGACAATCCGTAGGTGATCCTTAGCGTTTTGAGTTCATCCTTTATTCACCCTTAGTGTGAGGATAGCTTTGAGACTTTGTTTTATGTGCCTCACTCGTTTGTGACATTAATCTACTGACATTTCATCCATTTCGTTTCATACCTGCCGATTCCTTCAAAGTTCTTCTCTTGCATTTGTCCTGCCTCATATCATATCGACTAGGTAAAGAAGGTACAGAGGTAAAATATTTATAATCAAGTCTTACTGGCCATTTATCCAGTAGTTTGGAGTTTGCCAACCTACAACAGTCCCATAAGTTAATGTAGAATCCTCACTGGCTATCTCGATTCGACATTTCTATAGCTCAGAATGTGTTTTTCTTATTGGTGCCTAAAACGGAAGCCATAATCGTATGTTGTGATCTGTACAGAGATGATATCTAGCATAAAGTTTCTATCAGCTGGTGTTGACGCATCATGATCATGACTTCCTTTACCATAGAATTATAAAATATCATGTATATGAATTCCAATCATATTCTCGTAAAATCTGCATGAAATTTAGAGGGTGCCCTACAAGTACGTACCCAATGTTTCATCGTAAATATCTCTCTTACTAAGGATTTTGTTTGCCTAGTTTCACGGCTTCACCTTATTACAACAAGGAGCGAATCACCGATCGCTCTTCATCACTGTAGGATCTCACGGTAGGAACTTTGAAGAGAGTTTTGAGCCATAAAGGGCTGTAATCTGTCCCAGGCATAAAGCAGGCGTAAAAGTCCACACTAGGCTTTGGGGTTGCTGGTTCGAACTAAGAAATTTACATCTTATCGTAATATTCGCTGAATTATCATGCCAGGTAAGCAGTAGCAACCGTATCCGATGTTCCTAAAAAATATAGTTAACCGTCTAGGAAGCTTCACAAACTTGTACAAAGTTGAGTATTGAACTCAGCGTTTATGAAAACCCTAACACAAGTTTTCAAATGTTTTGGAATTTTTCATGATAGCAGCTATTTATTTCACAGTGAACGGCATATGCCGGAATTGCCACCGTAACTTCACGGTAATGAAGAGCGGTCGATAAGTCGCTCATTACTATAAATCTGAGTTGAAGCCATCTCTACTAATGGTAAGCAAACGATTTTTTTGGGAAGAAAGATTTCAAAGATCAAACAGTGGGTACATATTTTTGGGACACACTCTGCAAGAGAGTTGCAGTTTCTTGCTCTCTTGTTTGATTTCATTTCATCAATTGAAAAATTTCTCAAGCCTTAAGGCATACTCCCAAATCGCTACATCCAAGAGACTTGGCGTTTCGCCAGGTGTCTACAGATAATCGTTCGCTAGTGTCAAATGCATGGGCGCGTAGCTTCTGTAAGTTCTCACAAAAGCAACAAATCTGGCCCAAGCAAAGCGCGCTGCGCATAATTATTAAGTGTTGCAGTGCTAAACAGCGCACCGACTGGAATCGCGTGAGGTATGCCTTAGGCCTTAGACTGGGGCATCTAAGTTTCATATTAGTAAGCATTAACCTACCAATACCAATGATTGTTAGGTTGTGAACTAGATAATGCAATCATTTGTACAATCTTTCTCAAATATAGCGCAGATTCTTCGGTGATATACAGGGTATCCCAAAAAATGTGTACTGTTTGTTCGTTAATAACTCTTTTGCCATAAAGTCTGTCGAGGAGCTTTAGTCATTTCTATGTAGAGCTGGCTTCAAATTAGATTTGCGTTATGGATCGGATTACCCATTGCTCTCCATTACTGTAGAAATAGATAAGAAATTCCGACATATTCTGTCACTGTGAATAGCTGCCATTTCAAAAAATTTCAAGAGAAATCTAGAAACTTGTGTGATGGGGTTTTCGTGCATGCTAAGTTCAATGCTCAACTTTGTACAAGATTCTGATGCATTCTAAGTGATGTAATCAAGTTTCTCAAAAACATCGAAATAAAGTTTGCCACTGTTTATCTGGCATAACTTTTCAAGGAAGAATTATGGTGAGATGCAAACTTCATAATTAGAATCAGGAACTCTAATAAGCCTACTGTGAGAGTTTTTTGGTCGCTATGTTTCTTTTCTGAGGCAAAATATGGCCCTGCATGGCTCAGAACCGTCTCCAAAGTTCCTACCGTAATTCTACAGTAATGAAGGGCAGTCGGTAATCCGTTCCATACCGTAAATCTAAGTTGAAGCCAACTCAACAAAATGGTACCTAAAGCTTTTCGAAGACTTTATGGCAAGAGAGTTATTCGCGAACGAACAGTAGGCACATTATTTTGGGACACCCTGTATATCACGAATATGAACTACTAGTTGGCTTTCCCGGTCCAGCCCGGGCCATGGTCACCGCACTGCGGCCCCCCCCCGCCCTATATGGATGACTTACCCTGGGACATCCGCTTGGAAACCGCATCCTCGTGATCCTGAGGTGCGAATTTACTAGCCCTCATAACTTCAAGACAAGAACTGTGATAATGAAAATATTAGGTTGGTGAATAATTTCTGTCACACTTTTAATTTCATTTCCTAAAAATCTAAGAAGCTTTCGAAAATTCTTACGTTTGAGGATTGTTGACGAGGTGCAAAGTCTACCCGACGGTACTGTCAGATCCGTGGTCCGTGCGCAAAACACCCACTTTATAGGGGTACATTTTATGGACATTGTTGTCAGCGCGTTGGTATTGTTCCAGGTGATCAGAAGGAGACCGGGCGATGTCCTATTCGGGCAGGGTATGGTCCATAGTTTTAAGCGAATGTAGGGGGTGGCACAATCAGTTCGCACACGATCACATGAGCTACATTTTACGCCATGTCAGCGCACACTCGCATTTTGACATGAAGAACATTTTTTAAAAATTTGCAAATTTCATTTCCAATTTCTTCGTAGCAAATCCTACACGATGCACTCAAAAAGAGGAATTTCCTACTAATTTTTGGTTTTTTAGATTCTTTTTTCACCCCCTGCTTTTGGCGTGCCAGCGGCACCAAAGTCCTGCCATAAAAGAGACGGTGCAAAAATGTGTTCTAAAAAAATTATGGGAGAGAAAAAACACAATGAAACGCAAAGAAAAAAGTCAAAGAAAAAATGACAATTTTGACCGTGCTTATAAGATTGTCGTTAACTGGCTAGCTATTTGTGCAATTGCGGCATCAATCATGGTGTTGTGTACAACCTACCGTGGCCTACATATGGAGCAACTTTCAAGGTTCTGAGAACTTCTGGAATTTTCCAGAATTTTACAAAAAAGTGTAACAGAAATTATCCGTCAACTTAATAGATCCACTTTTTCCACTTTTTACAACAGAGAGCATTATAAAGCAGTGTGGTTAAAACAAAACAGGTACAATAACCATCATGCGCAAGTTGCCCCGCAACATCGGGGTTCTTAAGTAGAAGTGACTGAATAGGCGGTGGAACTGTGTTAATCTGTACTATATAAGCAAGAGTAATTAGCGAAGTCTGAGCCGACAGTGAGCGTGATAAAAACGTAATCATGATAAATTAGGTAAATGTAGCCGTTTTAGTATCTAACAACGTGTTAAAAACTTGCGCAACAGCGACAAAAGTTGCGCACTCGAAAGGGGCACTCTGGTGCTTTCTGGCGCTTTTGGAAGCTTTTGAGTGATCTGAGCTTTGGGCGCTGATGAGCGATCTCTGAGGAAAACCATAAGGTATATTTTTTATCTTGGTAACGAGCAGTATATTTCGTGTTCAGCACACCAAATTACCCACGGTCCAAATTCTGGGCAAGTTCGTGGTTTTCCTTCGCTATTGACAGATGTCTTTAAAAAAAATTTTTTCCTAAAATTTTAGACTTTGTCAGGTTTTGATTTCCTTAACCACCTTTTTCAACTGGCAGTGAACATTGAATCAACCTCTAATAATACTCCGCCTACAGTCCCGTTTCGTTGCGATTGATTTTGCTTGTGCACTGCTTTATTTTTCCTCCCGCAAATCTCCGAAGTCACCAATGCTTACTCTCCCTCTATATTATGCATGTATTATATTCGTAGTCCACATCCATCACAATTAATGTACTATAAGTAGTAAGATATAATATGGTATGATAATATAAAATAAAATTAATTTAATATGCGAACAATCAAAAACAGAAGAGTTATGGAAAAATGTTTATCATGTTAAAACCACTACAAACACATTCTATTATGAACATCGACGTTGTAAGGAACACAATACGCATGTAAATCAGCGAGTATTTCATGATTTAACCTAGGACTGGCAGTATGGTATCCTGCCATTTTGAAAGTAACTAATTGAGTTAACTTATTCTAATCAATTACAAAAAAAACGTACACGATCGCCGAAAACACTCGCCACAATGCGCTTCAGAACTTATATTTGAAAGCGGAGCGATCTGATTCAACGTGTAGAAAATTTGTACAAGTCTTTCCAGACATTTTATGGTGTACAAAAGAATGTAAAGTGCATTACTCGAGTGCATTACTTAAATGGCTCAACAATGCTTAGAGAATGTAATAGAAGTGTGCATGCACATTATTATGGGTGTCTTAAGGACCCGTCATACTCCGCCGAAAAGACCGAAAAGCCCAAAAGTGCCAGAAAGAGCCGGAACACCCCTCGCAAGTTGTGGCGCTAAGGCATGTGTGTTGATTGCAACCGGGTCTTTTTGGTTCATTTTCTGTCGCCTGCACGTCAAAAATAATGTCAAAATCGTACCAAAAACTCGTTCCGGCTCTTTCTGGCGCTTTCGGGCTTTTTGGGCTTTTTTGAGAGCTTTTGGGCTTTTCTCGGCATAGTATGACGGGTCCCTTAAAAGCGTGTATACAATTTCTTTGGCCTGTATGCACATACCGATGGGGAGGAAAGGGGAGCCTTGCAGTGACGCATCATATCTCGGTGCTTTATCTGTATTCTTTGTTGTCTCTCTATCTTTTGAAGCCTCTTCTACCCTATTACTTAAGGATAATTTATGACAGGCATTGCTACGTTTTCGCATCCTCTGGGGGATCAGGGCACCTCATCTGTTCGAGTTACTTATCTTTCTATAAACATGACAAAAATGTAAAATTGTAAAAAGATTCTTTTGTGCAACGCGCTAATGGTGTTTGTAGTAGAGATTCGTGAATTTTCAAAATATCGAAATCTTTGATGAACCACTGTTTGCGAGTACGGTTTATAGAATCAACTTCAGTTCTTTTTGACTGCTGGAAACAAGCTTAGTAATGCCATGGTAGATCCCTAAAAATTTACACGATTCCATTGAACTTCTGAAAAGATGAAGTTTTAAAAAAGAGTTGATCCTCTGAGGATCCAAACAGTGAAATCTTATCTTATATGACAATGCTGTGTCATCCATTCTGAACGGGTATAGGGTAGTAGTCACAAGAAAGGTAGCATTCACACTTCACGAGGTAATGCATGAAAGGGCGGGCTCTAGCGTTCACGATGTGGAGCAAGCCACCCTTAATCTAAATCTACTCTCCATGATCTTTCTAAAAGCATATACCCTAATTTCACGCGTATAAGGCGCGGGGGATTTTTTTCCAAAATCGACCAGCCCAAATACGCCAAAGAACTTCGCAACCAAAGGACCCTATGCCTTGCTGTATATAGCCTAAGAGAATCGTACGGCATAAGGATCGCTTTCCCAAATAATTCAAAACGGCTGAGGGGCTTAGTCGAAAAATCGAAAAAGGTACGCCTTGTACGCGTGAAATTAGGGTAAATGGTTCGATTAAAAAGCTTCATTGAAGAGAATCTTTGAAATTAGGGTTGAGGTATTTACTTCTGCCTTGCTCTACCTCGCACCCTCAATGGCTTGACTTTTGATTCGATTTAGTGTGTACCAGTTCTAGGGAGACAAAGTGGAAAAGATCTATCTGCGAATCTGAAGTGGATTACGACAGAGAGAGCGATCCATAATAAATTTGGGGGCTTTTCATATGCATGGATAGAAGGCGTGGCTTGCCCAAATAGTTTACAATGTAAATGGGGTACATAAGTTGAAGAAAATTGTCGCAGTATTGCTACACTCTTGGCTCAAAGGTGGCGATCATTCTTGAGTGAATAGATATTCGAGTAAGTGGCATAGCTATAGGGAATGGCGCATCTATGGAATTCAGCTTATGACGAGTTTATGGGCGACGTGAAAAATGATTAGGTTGATAGTATATAAATCATTATCACTGACGGATTTTTTTTTGAAGCGGAAAAGCTGTAAACACCTGTTAACAGATCACTTAATAGCTCAACGGGTAATCAAGCAGACCGTTTCTATTTTTGAGCTTTTTTATTTAGCGATACGTGAGGAAATTTTTCCGGCCAGAATATCAACTAATTTTGCATGGTTGTTCCTTGCTTTACTTTCAAAATGAGAAATTTTTTCCTAGGAATGTTTGGCCAGTGATGAATGCACGCTCAATACTTGGTGAGCATACATCCACCATTAACCAGACAGATTTCCTTTTCTTACCTAATTCTCTCCTGCCGCAATGTGTATTCATTGGTACAAGCTGCTCATTCGAATCAAGAGTCTTTTTATTTCCTTATGTATATCCTATTGCCAAAATACCACGCCTTGGCAAGACAGGAGGTTACTAGCATGCATTTTTCTAAGCAAAGCTCATGCTAAGATGCTAGAGAGTTTACCACTTATTATCTTTGTTTCATTCTGACCTTTTAGTAAGACTCTCTGCCTCAACCTCATGTGAAGGGGCAGAAAGGAATCGGAGCGGTTGCTTCACCCATCGCAGCGATTTCCATATAATCTTCAAAAAAAAGTCAACGACACACTAGGTACTGTGGCGAATACAAGTCCGAGAATAAATGTGATATTTTGAAACCTAAATCAGGATGTGACGCAACAGATAACACCGAAATCATTTATTGGAAGATTTGGATGCAGGTACTACCGTGATTGTAAAGCTACTGACGACGACCCTTTTAGAGAAGAATGGATGCGTGAAATAGAATACCCAAGTGGGTATAAATACCATCATATCTTGGAGAAAACCTCGCAGAAGAAACGATATCTCGTAGAAAATCTCATAGTAGAAGAAGAACTGAAATTTTTTGACTTGTCATTTGTTTAACACAAATAGCAAATAGAACAAATTTGTATCCTCCTTTCTTTGGACAAAACTTTGAACTCAAAAATATCTCCTATTAGAAAAATAATTTTTGAGCTTGGTAAGAATCACGCTTCTTCATTTCCTTCGACCTGCTTGATTTAGACAATTCAACAATGTGCACTCAAAGGCCGTTCACTCAGCTTTTGACTACGCTTGAGCTCACTTTTTACTTTAGAATCAGAATTTTCTCCTCAAAAGCCTATACAAATAATTTTCCTGCAACATTTCTAAGTATGCAGCAGCAACCGCTGAGGTTCTACTATAACAGCGCTTTTCAATAAAACTTCAGAGCATTGCAAGATTTGCAGAACATTTTTATGACCTAGACCTTGCTTCTGAGTGGAACAATTCAGAAGCGTTCATTGCATAATTTTGCCGAACTCTTCACACAGTTTGCTATAAATATTTGAACTGAACATAAGTTGAGAGTAATAGTTACCTGTAGTAAGCAAAACAAGCCGATTGAACCACATAATGAACAGACCAACAAGAGCAACGACCTTTCCGACTTATTCCATGTCTTGGTCGTTCTTCTGGAACATGAAAGATTACCATGCTAAAGAGTTCATTCATCACATTCATTCATTTTACCCAAGTAATATTCGCCATCTGATCATAGTGACCATGAAACATAAGAGGACGATCAAACATGTGATAGTAGTAACGAAGAGCAATGCAAGACTGCTTCTCCACTGTAAAAGCTCAATTACAGGAACAAGATTATCGCAAGAGATGAATGTTTGATCATAAAAGCAGCAGAATGGCTGAATTGATGTAGATTCTATTATCGTACTGGAATTAATCTCGAGGGATTATAGTAAGTGTACGGTAAATCTTTAACTGGTTCACTTATGACCAGGAAACAAAGACCCAATAATTTAAGAAGATATAAAGTGAGTTTTGAGAGACGCTTTCAGAAGGGGTGTTCTCTAAAAAAGTATGGCATCAGCATTGAGAATGGTGATTTTCGTAGCCCACCTTTGACGACCTTCGATATTTATTTTCTATATTTTTTCATTTATGAAATCAGCTAGCCTTGAAATCGCCTAACAAACTTTCGGAGACAGTAAATGAACTCCAAAATTTATTTATCTGATTTCTTCGGTAATCTCCTCTCTAATTAGAGCCTTCGCTAATGGTTAACGTGATATGCTGTTCATATAGTTGCTTCCAAGAAAGCAAGAAAATTTGACAAAGAGGAAGCAAAATTTAGTTTGTAGTTTAATTCTTTAAATAAGTACTGTTTAAACCAACCGCTGGATAGACTTTTTTATATGCCATAACAAGCGAAGCAGAATTTGATATGGTAGCGAAATATGCATGAACCGGAACAAGGAACCAAGTAGTCACACAAGGCAGTAGATACATGGCAGGAATCAAAAATAGCGCAATCCGAATTTGAATCTAAGTATTGTATCAAGATCTTAAAAGTTTCTATACAGGCGTACTTACCTTGTCTGCTTCGACAGGTGACAAGACTGCAGCCACTCTTACAATAGAAATAACAATAGATGAATACAGGCCAGTGTACAAAAGATAGTAGCACATGACGTACAGCGCAGTAAGATAGTAACCGTGAGGTATTCGGCATATAACGGATGTGACCAGCCCAGTTTGAGGAACCCGCACAAGAGTGATATCAATGATGAATAACAAGAGAGTCTGAAAATAATGGAGCGAAAGGGTTAGAAACAACTTAGCATTGTGCTAGCGTAACATTCTACCATTATTTATTATTGACACAAATGTAGAGACGTTTTTCTCTTTCAGTAATGTTACTTATCATATCTGAAGCGGTGAGAAAAGTATATTATTATGGATCAAACTGGAAGTTTTTCTCTCCGTTGACCAAATATCATATCCATCTAGACTGTGATTTTCCAACGCTAGGTCGCACTCTATGAGGCTTCTCCTCTCTGGCAGTTACTACACAAAGCGAGTTCTCGTTAAGAGCATCCACATATATTTCTGAAGCTCAAATCCTCATTTCTCATTCTTCCTAAGCTAGCGAAAAGCATAGGGCTGCAAGCAAAATAATGATTTTTTCTATATCTGCGTGTCTCTCTCCAGGTCCCGCTACGGATTCTGAACATTGAACACTCGCTCATATACATGCTCGTGTTGCAACGGACACAACTTCAGCAACAGTTTCTGAATTGTATATTTGTTGGACATGTCACCATGGGCGAAGTTGAAGCCACTGTTTGGTAAATAAAAGCACCAGCACATTTTAGCATAAACATTTTAATAATGGAGTTCTGCCCGCACCGGGCTCAGCCCCTAAGCAAGCGGAAATACGCAAAGTAACATTTGGAAGAAATCAAGTTAAATATGTTTTCATAAGAGGTTGCTGCACTAATCAAAGAACGGTAGTATCTGGGGGATTTCTATTTAGAAAGGCGACATTTTGATTGAAAGAAGTTATTTTGCTTATTCAATTTACTCAAAAAACCGGGGAAGGCTCAAAGATTTTAGACCTAAGACTGATCATGAATAACCTTTAACATTTATTGTGAATGCCATAAGAAAAAACACCTTTGAAGTAGTTGACAGAAAAGAAAAGACTGTAGCAAAGCGACCTAAACTGTTTATTAGTCATTATTACGTTTAGTGCATCGATCAAAGACTGGAAAGCTTTTTTGACTTTTTGTCTATCAGGTTCACACAGTACCATCTTTCGCCAATCTATCAACTTTATCTTTTCGTTTCACCTATATTTCAGTAGATTCGCAAAACACAATAAACATAACAGCGCTAAACAGAAGACATTCCGACTTCCCATCGCTAACCAGTAATCACAAAGATTCTATCGAAACAAAGTTTAAAAAACTTACAACTAAGCGATCATGAAGAAATAGTTTGTAGAACACGCTCGGAAACCTCTTGTTATTTGCCTGTATTTTTGTGACGATTTTGAACGTGATGTATATAGATGGAATGGAGTATATAATACTTATAACAAATAAGCCAGTGAACAGATACTCAGTCGTTCCAATTTCCAAAGTTTTGGCATAATCGCAATTTCCAATGATGTTGTCCATTCTAGTAGGAAAAGGATTCGCGTATCCTGAAGTGCACTTTCATTACAAATAATTTTCACAATCAGACTGCATATGTTTTTCATAGACAAATTATGCACACAGCTTTATTTCAGCACTGTTTATCCTAAAATCATGAGAAGATTCGCGATACGAGAAAACACTTAGCTGTGCTAGAAATGAGATTTGGCGCAGTACGTACGATCAATGGAGCAAGTACTTACGAGGGAAAGATACTTGGCGGAGTGAATTTTGCAGTTAAGATGTTTGTTTTGAAGAGCATGGAACGCTAATTTTGAATCTCTCTCTCCTGTGAAGCGCGCCCGTTTCTGGTGTTATGGGCGTTTTTTGAGTCAAAAAGTTGGAGAACGATCAACATAAAATTACCCATTCCGCCTTTTTAGCTTTCAAGTAGAGCAATGGTAAGTTTTAATTGACTAAAGCGAGAGTACTTGATGCATAGAATGTCCTGCCAATCTTTACAAGACCGAATTGGATTGCAAAAGGTAACTTTTATTGTTTGAGTGTTTTTCACAAACTGCACGTTTAGATCTCCTCCTTAAAAAATTTCCGTGCCGCTGAAGGCGCTACGCAGATATGGGAACACATTTTGAGTTAGATTCCATGACCCCTAGACAGTACACGATTTGTCTATAAAAGCCACTTCGATAATCTTTCTTTGTTAGAAATGAGATGGTTAAGTATTCAAAGAACCGGTCCATATATTCTGCCTAAAGCAAATCTAGAGCATAAGCGGATCCCAGGAGATTATATGCCTGAGGTTGTGATACAGAATTTATCTAAGGGAACTTGAGAATGTGAGAGAAATACAGAGAAAAGAAAACGTGGCATACTGAGTGCACCAGGTGAGCAAAGCGATCTATGTAAATGCTGTGATTTTACTTTGACAGCCTAGCTCTCGTTTGCAACTCGTTGTCGGAAACACTATGTGAGCTTATGAATCAGTTAAGAGGTTTACGAATGACAACAAGGAAAAATTACTAGTGATTAGAAAGATTCACAGAATACATATTAATCAAATCACATATCAGTAAGACACAATTATGCAGCTCTCAGCTAGAGTGAACAACAAACAAGCACTATTCAAGCCACGTCTTATTTTGAGACTATCTTCAAGAACCTTTGCTTGCATCCAAATTAGGCGTTCCTTCATACACAGGGCAGGTGTAATGCCTGTAATTGAAATGCAAAACACGAGATTAGCAGTCTATGTGCAGGCAAAGATTACTGGAACTGATTCAGGGTTATTAACGTGAAACAGATGTTTGAGATAAACAATTTGTATCGGTTTAGTGCAACAAGGAAGTATCAATTACGGTGATAATCATAGCTTCAAAGTCATCAAAGAAATTCTTTAATCGAAAATTTCTGGGAGAAGATTTTCTAAGTGAAAATTTCTGGGAGTACAGGTAATTCTTGTTAATTACTACACGGTTTGTGCAGATCTTCGGCTTTTGTCGATAGTAATGGTGAGCCAAAGCTGTCACCATTTCTTCATCTGCCAGAGGTGCGAAGGACTCTCAACCAGAGAAAGCAATTGACTAATTTAACAGTTGGCGTACTGTCAATGCGAATGTCCGTGCCTTCAACTCATTATGAAATCATGTAAAATAAGTACAAATAAGACAAGAAAAGCTACTCAACGCAGCTTTCCTTCCTCTTTCCAACAGCTACATTACCTCTCACAAAACATACAAAATTTCCGAGAAATTTTGTATGTTTTGTGAGAGTGAGTGAAAGTGACATTTCGTGGCATCTCGGTGATCGCGCGACGTTGCGGCAACCGCGCGAAATTTCTTGAATTCCATGAAATCACGCGAATCACGCAAACTACCCAGCGCCTTAACTTATAATATTATTGAAGAATGTATTTTGAATCCGAAGAAAGCATTGTGCTCAGCTCATTAAGGCAAATCTTCTGATGTACAGTGTGCCTTCATATTCCGTCGCAATATTGAATTTTCTCCGGACCTCGTTTCGCAAGGGTAAAACGCAGCCCACATAAGACGTAGAAGATTCCAGGAAACACTTTCGCAGTCTTGGTCCCTTAGATTATCGGGCTCTAGAAAGTGACCGCGGTCTTTTTCAAAAGAGATATTATAAAAAGGTTCGTGTGTTCTGGAAAAATCATGTTTTCCCAAGCAGGGTTTCATTGCAGAGATATGGTGAGGTATTAGGTTGGAAACTAACAATAAGTTTTGCAACTGCTTTCGTAACTTTATTTCTTTGAATGCGACGCACTCAAACTTTGGCTATATGTACATCTCAGTGAGTGCTACAACTATGCATAAACTGTTTGATTTTTGAAAACGAAATAAAAAAAATTACAAGCATTTTTCCAAAACTAGTACATTTCGAGGATTTATGAACTTATAAGCAAAAACGAAGCCGTTTACGAACCGATCATTCATAATGCATAATGATCCGAAACCATAAATCAATTATTGCCTGAGGTTGGCTCATTTGGCTCAGTAGAAAAGAAATAGAATTGAAAAACAAGAGAAGATCTAGCACTTTCATGATGTTAAAGTACGCAAGGCTTGTAAGGACAATCATTGATGACTCAGGAGTGGGAACGTCAAATTCCGCGGAAACTTCAAAAAGTGAGTTTATTCGACATGCTAAACACGAACATCATATTTGTCTGTTAAATTAAAGTCTTTTTTATTGTTTAGGATAAGACCTCATTCCGTAAAGCTACGGTAATCTTACAAATAAAGCCCTTACCAGGCGAATTCAGTATGTTATTGTGATCAGCATGTCGGATAACCCCTGCGCCAAGTTTCAGCCAAATCCGTAATGATTTAATTTTTCCTTTTCATACTTTATACCTACCGTGATCCTCACTGCGATGTCAGGATTTGGTGGAACAGCAGCTTTGCTTATAGCTTACGTCATATTACTGGCGAACTTTGGGTGCTTTATATTGAACGAGGACAAGATTATTTAATTTGCAAGACTTACTTTTCAATCTAATAGCTGTAGCAACCACGAAAGTTCGTGAATTCGGCTCCACTTTTCGCGTATCTATAGAAAAATTTGCTTGCTTGTTTTTGGAGGTTAAATTCATCAAGAACCATGTTATCGAAGGCTGCATAGCTCAGTCTAACCTGTAATCATCGCCGAGTTGCGAGCTTATGAAATCATGGTCTCATGAATACCGCTCAAAATGTAAAGATGGCATACTTCGTGAAAATTACATCGAGAGTGGCCTGCTTAGTAAGATAGCTTCGTCTTTTAGCACGGTGAGTAGGATTTGGGAAGACATGATTTTTCCAGAATTACCTTCTCATCTTTTTTGAAAAGAAGTCTGCGGCCCTTTTTAGGCCCGATAATCTACAGAAACAGCATTATGGAACAGTGCTCACTGAAATCCTCTGTGATGTGCGTTACGTTACACCCTTGCGAAAAGATAGCAGAAAAATTTAACAATTTATCGAGAAATCGAATATAATATAAATCGAATATCGAGAAAAACCTGCCAAAATCTTCGCCTTGGTGAGCTGAGCATAACGCTTTTTTCGGATTCAAAGCATTTCCAATACGAAGGGATTTATAACGCTGCGTTGTTTGCGTGATTCCCGGATTTTGAGAAATCCACAGATCGCGACATTCTCGACAATTTTGCATGTTCTGTGAGCGATATTGTATGTTTTCGCATCTCTTCCTGTGAACATACAAAAAATGCGAGGATCACATTCTCACTCTTGCCATGTCCAATTTCAGCTAATTAAGGATTTTCTTACAGATCGAAAATTCTGATAAGTGGCAGAATGTATTGTGAAACATAACTTCCGTTTTATAATTTGTCAAAAAAGCAATAGATGTAAGGGGATAATTCGATGCGCTGTTTCGAAAAAGATTTGTTACTTCCTTCGATCAGCAGCATTGACTCAAAATTTCATCGTAAACATAATAACTTGATTTTTAATTGCATTATATCGCTATCGTGCATCCCTCAGATTCTCAGAATATCTCATTATGGCTTGTGTTTCTTTAATCTGATAAACTGGCTGATTTACAAAAAGGACATTGTTCCCAATGAGTCTGCAATTAGAATCTCACGTGTGTGCAAGGCCCCTGGGCATGCAATATCGGAATAAACTGACTGACGTCGATAACAACATAATCTCGACATCTACGTTGATGTGTACTGAGATCCACTATGGCTGATTACTTTTTTTCGAGGACTTTTTTTAAACTTGGTACGGTAGGTTAAAGTCACACCATGATATTGAAGATTTCAAACTTACAGAATGAAGATTTCACAGTATCAATTAAATCACCTTGGCTCCACGATATTATAAGATTAGTGGTTGTGCTTGAAGCTGAACCCGGAGCGCGTTATCTGCCACTTTGAATATTTTTCAATGAGATGAAAGTTTAAGTTTTTTAGATATTCACACTCAAAGGCTGCTTGAAAACTTTCGGTGGTTTGATAAACTTTTTGAGATATAAAGTACTACTACAGGGTTTTACATACCTGAAGCAGCCTTGAAAGAGGAGCCAATGTGTAGGTTTTATATTTGATATTTATCGCAAATTGGACTGACGGTGTTATTTTCATTTCTTCTTCGGAAATTTCTTGCGACATTCGTCTGGCGGTGCCGCAAGACCTTACTCTGATTCTACAATGGTTGGAAGCGACTGGCGAGCAGTTCTGTCATGAAAGCGGGCTTCAGCAACCTCTCTTGAATTCAAAATTAGGACTGACGCGAGAAAGGAGGACGTCACTCACGATAGAGCAGTTAACTCATTTCTATGATAATCTGTATATCTCCAGAGGATGGCCCACATGAAATTCGTTGCAGCTAAAGGACCACTCTGCACTAAACGATTCAAATGCCAAACAGTCAAGTACTCTAGATGTGTTAGCAAAAAACAGCGTAAGAATTCGACCACACTTGAGCATCTGCTCCTCTGGTTTTGATACAGGCATCCAATGTCTTCACGACTTGTTCAAAATTTCGCGATCATTCAAAGTGATTGCCTGGAACACCCTTGCTTGAGACGACGCGTTTTTAGGGGAGAAAAAATTTTGAGCTTGTAGGCAGCTTGTGCCCGCTTGGACACAGGAGGTCATATTCCACGAATTCAGATTTTTGCTTACGGTAGATTACTCAGTGGCAACCTCCCCTAAGCAAAGATGTGAAAGGATCTGTGGAGTCTGGCTTCCTACTGTGGCAAGCGAGCACTTCTATATATAAGAGGATGCGCCGCGCCGAGCTGAGTCGAATGATGTTCTTGGATTGAAAATTTGTCAACTCTGAAGCGAGATATGGCCCACTACGGTTATGTCACATGAATCGGGCGACTGTACGTTGTTTTTTCAAAAAATACGAGCGGTATTGTAGATTTCTATAACTGCAAAATGTGAAACTAATCGCTTCGAGCAAATTTGCGTTGCTGAGCAGAAGAATCGGCTGATTTATACCGCGCAGGGTGATGGGACGGTCATCAAATCTACGATAAAATGGTTATCAGGGCATAGGGATAAAAAATGTAATCTTATAGGTTGCGACAATAATATTTAGTTTCTCATTGAAGCTAGCAAGTGAAAAAAGCAATGTTAGTTGTCAGAACTTTGCCTTTGACTTTCTGGGTATCGCCAAGAAGTTCAGATAGTGATCGCTGACTGAAGTTGTTCGCAACTAAAAATGCGATACTTTTCTAATGCTGATTTGGTTGAAGCTTTTAGGATAAACAGTCGCAATTTTACGAAAAAGTCGAACCAGTGTGGAGTAATCTTTTCAGAACTACTGAAATCTTATAATCAACCTTAAACACTCCTTGTTATCATAAGAAGAAATGTTCCGAGAGCTTGAGAAGTTTGCAAATGGGACAATATATAATACGTTGTGAATCTAGATCTTCTAGAGCACTTTGACTGATAAGAATATGTGCATTACAGGCTGGATGATAACAACGTAGTATTTCCTTCCTTTGACAGTACTTGCCAGCTTTTCGATTACCACGAACCTACGCTGGCATATTTTCCAATCATTTGACAGAATTCCGCAGACCTAGTATTTATGACTAGATGAAGTATTCACATATAGCTTTGCAATATCTTTGCACCCTTCTCTTCTTCAGAAATTGAATTGCAATCTGAGAGTGCTAAATATAGTGTCCACCAAAATTTTAAAGAACAACGAACTTTTCTTTACCGATAGAGCCAGCAGCACTCATTAGCTGTAGTGTCGATCTGTATGGCCGGTAATATTGCTCGAAGCAACGTTGGTTTCTTAACTATGACCTTGATAAAATCTTAGTAGCTCTATAATCACCTTCTTAACGTTCTCCTGCCCTGAGATGACTTACGGAGGTCATACAGTAATCAAGTGCTTTCCCAATCAAAACCAATGAAACATTCGGAAGGAACTACTTGATCCCAATTTGGGGTTATTCTGTCTGTAGTGTGCCACCTGAGTCATACATTGGCACGAGCCGGTGCGAGCTGGAGAACAAAGCGCAGCTGAAGCAACAATTGGCCCTGGAACAATGTGGATTACTTCCCAAAATAAATGGATTCTTTCGTCAAAAGCTATTCCACCACGAGCATCATAGTCTTTGCTCCACTGACATTTGCAAAATGGAGTTTGTACATTATTACATATGTATTACGCATGTAAATCTGGTTGTAAATGTGTAGAGGAGCCTAAAAGAGGATGTGAAAAAGGATATGGGACTGCTCCAGCCTCTAATTATTCCAATGTCGAGGATAGGTCCTGCAGTTATTCCACATGATGCTAGCAAGGCAACAGGGTGTGGTGCAAGAGGAACGATAGTAATTGCCAGCCGCTGGTGCCAATGCACTCTTTGCCTTCACAATTTGCTAATTGCAATATAAAAAATAGTGGATATGAAATCCATGCTCTGCTCAATTTACTTAATAAGTCTTGCTTAAATTCCGGTGTTTCGTGCAATTCGATTGACATTTTCAGCTGATTTTCACGTCCCATTTTTAATGAAACACAATCTATACGATTCTCCCAGATGAAAACATAAAAGAAGGAAATACTCGAAATTTCTGTGTGCTGATAGACAAAAATGACGGTAAAGTATGCGCGAGTTACTGACACCCACCAGCTTTCGTTCCTCTTGCTCGCCACCCTAGGGAGCAAGGTTTAGTCGACTTGGCCTTTTTAATGGGATGTACACCATGATAAATGACATGAAATGCTGATTCCAAATTTGCCTTCCTCATATGCGGAACATTTATGGACGAGGAATTTTGAGCTTCCATTAGAGCAAAAAATTGAATGTGCAAGTTGCATAAAAGTAATCGTAATATTTTCTAGCGCTTCAGTAGAGTAATGATAATAATACGAGAGCGCTTCATCTAGTAAGTACTATAAGATGAAAGGATAAGGTAGAAATATATCACAAATGGTCTTTTATTTGAGAGCTAATGGGATTTTAGCAACATATTCCAGAATAAATGCACATTCAGTTTGCTTCAATGAACGCTCATAACTCCTCGTCCACAAAAGTTCCGCAGATAAGGACGACAAATCTGTAATTAGCGTTTTATACACTTCATTATTGTATTGGACTGAAAATGCTTCCCTTGTAAGATCACCGATTTTTGAGTTTTGACGTTTCATCTTGCTTGGTGATAGATTCACTTCTGCCGTTCTAACGTCCAAAGATTTGCAATACAAGAAGGGTAGCACCTTCTTTTAGCAGAGCTTACAATTCACTAGTACAATAAACTCCTCCACGAGAACTTTCGAATGAATCCACATGTGTAAAAGTCATTTTTTGTGAATCATACGTTTCGTACCGGCATGCCATGCAGGTCAGTGATCTATATCGCCGTCATTAATTTTGTAATTAAGCCAGTCACTTGACCGATGAATTAATACTGATTTTGTTTCTGCTGATCAAACCTTCTCAAAAGAAGTTTTTTTCTGCACATGAAGCCTTAGTTAGTCTTAGGCAGAGTGCTTGTTGACCTTTACAAGAAGGATTGTTGCGTTATAGTGCCTATGGATAGGATCGTGCTCCGGAGATATTTATGAAAGCGAGCCGCTTGAATAACATCACCTATATCATGACAGAAAACTCCCAAAGGCCCACGCATTGTGACCGTAGAGAATGCGGTCCCTTTTCCGCTTTCTTATCTCTGTAACCGAGCCGCCATCAAAATTACGTAATTACCATAACCTGACAGGTAAGGTCGCTGGGGGAAGTGACGAGCCCTGCGGAGCCGCTTGGGTCAACTCCGCCCATTTATTGGACTTCATAAACACTTCTATGTTACTTTATTCCAACATTTCCATTCCGTCTCTTCTACTTGTTCGCTATACTTTCGCTATACTTTCGCATTTGATTGATCTAATTGCAGAGATGATGAACTATACTTCCAACTGCGAGGCTGAACCCGAGTCTTATTCGAAGTCTCTACAAACAGAGATGCCTAAAAATCATTTTCTCGATAGCCTTCAGTGTGTTCTTCAGAAGGTAAGAAGGTTGCGCTTTGTAGCTTGCAATTCTTGATATTTGTATTTAGGTTTACATAGCTGAAGCAGTATTGTTCAAGAAGTTGGAATGTTCGTCAACAGTTTGTGAAGTTGAGCACATCAGTCGTGGTTTGAAGCGACTGAATGAAATTGAAAGCAGATTAAACCTAAGGATTGCCCACTATGTAAGTGAAATTCTCACCGTTTTTTCAGCTATATTCGCATTGTTGATGCGGTCACGATTTCTTGATGGTTTCAAAGTGTGAAATGTAATATTTGCAAGAACAAAAATTTGATAAAAGGACAAAAACCCGAAAGTAATCTCGGTAATTCACTGTCTTTGGTCTATCGTAACACAAAAATAGGGTCTTATGATATTTTTCAATTGTTTTGGCGGTCTTGCAACCTACTTCTCACACACTCTAAGAGGTCGTGTATTTATTGAGACCAACTCTCTATCATATTTTCGACATACGATTCTTTCCAAATGCGTTGATCTTTATTTTTGGCACTTTTAGTAATCAAATCTCTTTTTTCAGGTTAATATCCTCACCCCTAACGACTCCGAGGAGGAATGAATCACTTGGATATATCGTATGGTATTCTATGTACAGTAAATCGAATATATGGTTGTATCTATTTAATAATTGCAATAAATATCAAATCGTATTGCTGATTGATTGCAAGATATTGAGAAGTATCAGCTCTAACGTACTAGCATTGATGAAGTGATTTATGAAGTGATCCTGCAAAAAACATACTTTGCGGAATGTTTCCTCAAAATCTAGTATTAATTGGCAATATGCTTGAATTCGCCGAAAATGGCAGGGAGAGTAATCGGAGAGAATACTTTTGCATCACTTGATGCTATGGCACTGTAAAATTGAATGAGAAAGAATATTGTGCCCTTCAGAATTCTGTTTGAGCGTCCCAAGTACAAGTTTTTCGAAAAAGTTGTGTGTGGGGACGTTTTTTGCGTGTTTTCGCCTATCGTTGTACCAGCTGCACATGAGTGATGTTTAACTTACTAGAAAAATTGATTTATTGATAGACCTACCACGCGGGTGCATGGGTTGTTCAGTACTATTATTCCAAAAGCTGATGAAATATGAGTGCTGAAGTTCAGAAGATCTACAAAATTCAATAACAGCAACTCGGTGAATTTTCGCTTGGAACCCCAGCAAAAACCGTCAGATTCAGTACCGGTAACCTCAAACAGCTAGCAAACTAAAGCGGCTCGTTCGTTATAGTTCGCATAGCACTGAACTGAAGTTTTAAGTTCTTGGCTCCAGACATATCGCACTTCTCAATCGTCTCTAGCTTTTCTTACCTCAAACCCACACGTCGGGAATGAGACCACAGGGCAGTATGTCAACTCAGAAGCAGATTCTTAACCCAAGCTATGAGTGGAAGAGATGGCAAGGTATATCATGCCTGCAAGGGGCAGTCTCGCCTGCAGAAGTAGGGCAGTGTTGCTTCGCGCACTCGTATCATAACATAGAGCAATAGCTAACAATAGCAGATAAGGGGCAACGCATATTTTGGCAGCAGAACTTTTGAGACATTCAGTTTGTTTTGACTCATGGCGATTACTGATATACCATTATGCTATCGGTTGTTTTGGTAAAATGAAAAAAAAAATGGAATAGTTGATCTACTCTCTAAAGGAATGGTAGCAATTACCAGGACTCAAATTTCCACCCTTTAATAAACTATTTTTTTGGGTATTCTCTCACATCCTTTCCAATAATATAAAACCTATTAGTTCTCCTATCTAACTGAAAGTACAAAAGGAATTACTCATAGTATTCGGTCGGATAAACAGAACTGAGGGTGAAAGATGCGCAGATTATTGACACCCACCAGCTATCGTTCCTTTTGCTCGCTTCCCAGACCAAGATGCTATTGGCCAACACAAGGGATTAGAGTGTTGTATAATCAGTGTTTATTGACCTTGGTGACGGTTGTCAAAGGGGACCGTGCTGAGTATCAATCGTAAATCTCGTTTTGCCACCTTCAAACACGTGCCCACCTTTTACTGAGGGCCATCGACGCGCGCGGATTACTCGCGGAAGAATTATTAAGACCATGGGAACGAAACCTCGTGTGAGAATAGTACCGCTCCAACTAAATATTAGGGTGATCACTAAAAAATGGGACAGCTTGATTTTTGCCAAATTTTGAGATTTTTTGTTTCGATCAACAACAAGCAGGCTGCAACGTAAACGTCGCTTATATAAGCGACCTTCGCCTATTATTCTGGCAAAACGTCAACGCTCCTCTCCCACAACCCTACGCGTGGCGCCCTGAAGAACTCGAACAGGATTTTTTGAACCTCGCTCATACTTGCGCTGCCATACCGCAAAGTCAAGGGCAATTGATATATCGTTCAAAAGAGCTGTTCATGCTCTTTCAAACAGTAATGAAACATACAGAATTTCTTTCTATTTCTGGGTGAAAAAAGCGAAATACCTGGAAAATCGCGATTTTTTGGCGCAACAAAAACCAGTAAATCAGTTTCAATCTGTATTTTCCGAAGATAGATAAAATGTGTGGTAAACTGCATATGGATGGATAGAGCGTAAAAAGGTCTTTCAGATGGTACCTATAGAACATGCGTTCACCTGCAAAGCATTGAATAGCACGTATTTTTGTTCTTAAAGCTGCTAATGGCCATATCTCCTGAATTTGAAAGTTTACACCAACAACCCATCGTGGGTCTGGTGACTGTACCTTCACGCATTGCAGCATTAGTACTTTGGATGGTTTCGCATGTTGCACTGCGCAGATACCGTCCGAAGTTTATAATTTGTCAAAGTGACTAACTTTGCATTTCAGCCACTATAAAAATTATTAGTTATGTAAATGACCTTATATAAGTATTTTCTGAAAGGGAATAATCTATTCTAACATCTACCAAAATTGGGAAGTTTAATCATTTTTCTTTTTTGAGAAATCTACATTTATTCTCTAGGTGTCCCATTTTTTAGTGATCACCCTAATATTATTTGTGATTGTTCATTTGCGATCATCCGAACATATTTAGTTAAGATGAACATTAATAATGTTTCTCGGTTGTTCCCAAAAGGACCTGTACGGTAACCTCACCGCCCAGTCTTCCTGGGAACCTACAAAAGTATCTAGAATATCAACTATGATAGACATGGTTGATAGACATGGTTACCAGTCTTCCTGGGAACCTACAACCATGTCTATCATAGTTGATATTCTAGATACTTTTGTAGTTGACTAAAATTAAATACTCATGAGCCTTAGTCAACAGCCACCTGCTTCGATGTCCCTCATCCAGAAACTTTCTTTTGGGAATGAGGTATCATTGATCCACCTTCTTTAACTGACAATGAAAGCCTGCTATAAGTCATAAAACTACGAACGTTACTGAAATCCCCTCTTCTTTCTTTGAAATCAAGAAGGAAAGTTTGATGACAGACAGATATGTGAATCATTCTTTATACGGCCCGATAAATGAGGTTTTGTTCGTCACAGTTAGGTTTCACATGCAGTGACGTACATTTGAATGTGAGCAAACACATAATTTGCGACTCCGACAATGTGTTTCGCCCCGACCAAGAACAATCTGCGAACTCTTTTGGATAGAAATAAAGAAACCCAAATGGAAAGAGTTCTGGCTTCATCCGTTTGATAGAGGGTTAAATGATTCCGAATACCGCTTATCTTTCCTCTATGATGATTACCTGCTGAATTTCAATTTTTTTGAAAGGCTACGTACCGACTTACAACCTTAACGTAATAAAAAAATGCCACTTCCACGCAGATTTGTGTAAGCAACAGCCATCGATTATGTTTAAAATATAAACATAGCGTCTACATCTTATTCTATGTGAACTCGCAAATTTTTAGTGCAACGTGATCAGCAGTCCCACTAATGCCCGTGTGCCAACGCTCAGCACCACCAAAGGTTATAAAAATCAATAAAATCTATAGAATTGGTGGATATTTTTACAAACGATTACTTCATTTGTAATCAATTGCTCACATATCCCCAGATTTGCCAGCTGCAGCCCTGTAGCTCAAACTTTGCAATAAAATCAACAAAATCAGTGAAAGTAATGACATAGTGGTCATTCCATTCGTAATCAGCATTCTCGCATACCTCTTCCCCCCCCCTCTCCCCCATCTGCACCAGATCCCACCCTCGTATCGTAGATTCGCTGACCGCACGACTGCACATCATTGCGGAGAATAGGGCATTCGAAAAATCGTGACGATGGCGCGACCGCGCGCAACACGCACGCACCTTTCGGCAACCGTATTTTCTTAGTTTTAATCTTTACATGACTGTTTTTTTTGCTTAGGTATGATAGTACTCGACTGGAAGTGACTGAGTTGAGGGTCGAGGTAAAGCCTCCTTGATTGAGGGTGTTACGTTTAGGAGCAAAGACCGCTGTCGAATCCTGTCGTCACGATTTTATAAATGAACCTTATGCGCCGCGAGGTAGATCACTTGCCCCAGTACAAATTCGCCTTTATACAAGTGCTCTCGCAGCATTTCAGCCGCGTTGCGCGTGGCCCGCAACGTTTGAGCAATCCGTGTGGTCAACGAATCGACAGTAGCTCAAAGATTGCAGAAGAATAATATTGATACCACTCGATGAGTGACGCAGCCTACGACAGCCCTTTCGCCTTGAAGCGTATGTGTGCAAAGTGGTCCGGATCGGGTCAGAAAAAGTTATATTTGGGACTTCCGTACAGACACTTATACAGACAGACAAAACATTCAGCTTTATGTACAAGATGATCAAGGGGATGAGGCTTACACCTATTTGAGTGTTCTCTTATAGCAACTCCTTATTTTCAACTTCATTTATTTGTGCAAAAAACATAGAATCGTAATTGGCACTATATTTGTTAGAGTAATTTGTCTTGTCAGGCTAGTCGAATCTGAGATCAATTGTTATTGCCGAGTTTGTGAGTTCTCTTCAAACTAGGAAGTACTTCTTTCCTTTCTCATCAATTGTACTGCCGGAAAGTCTTAATCGCATCAAAAAGCAAAGTAACAAGAGCATGCATGCAGCCATCACCACCATCTGAAAATGTAAAATGGAACATAAGGTAGTAAAAACTTCAGAAACTCACCAATACGTTTGATCCCAAGAAGCGAATATTCTGCAAAGCGTTTTTCCAGCTGTTTCCTTCTGGAAAGTCATGTTGAGGTGATGGTACGAAACAACACAAAAAAGCATTTTCGAATCATTCATGCCTCATGTTGGAAAGCTAAGTATCAAAAAAGGCAGGTGCTATACTCCTCGAGGAGTATAGCATAGCGACAGGCGACCGCCAATCACCACGAGTGGCGATCGCCAGTCGCTACGATTGACGATCGCCAATCGCCAGTATCGGCGACTGTGCCTTCCATAAGTATTGATCGCTAACAAGTTACCAATCGATGCGCATCCAACGTGGAGTCGTCAACATTAGCGATTGACGATCTCTAGTCGTAGCGATTGGCGATCGCTAGTCGTAACGATTGGCAATCGCCACTTTTCGGCGGTTACACGTTTGATATGTATCGATTTGACGTGACGACTATAATTGCCGGTTTTACACGTATTTGATGCGCATCGATCGCCGCCATGCTATACTCCTCGAGGAGTACATGCCTAATACTGAAATTTCCCGAGTACTAAACAAGCGCTAATTATCTATTCTACCATAGATGGCTCTTATAGCCATATTAAATGATTTTTTATTTCGTCAAAAATTTCAGAAGATTGAACACATTCTTTTGTTTCTGCTTTTTGTTCCATCACCTACTTTTTCAGCTAGATTGACTTTGTGCTGAGCAAACGTCTTTCAAAATCCAAAGTTGCAAAATCCACTTTCATAAGACTGTCGTTTCCTTGTTCTATCCTCTACCATGTCAGACAACTCCGGAAATTCCGCAGAATGTTTGGAAAAGTTCCGGCGGATCATCTGCGGGAAATCCGTAAACGTCTTGCGGAAGTTACGGCTATTGGCGAAACAACATCACAAGAGACAACGCACTCAAAAATCTGCGGAAGTATTGGCAGGTCAAAGTGCTGCGAAACCGCTAGCATTTTTCGGATTTTTCGCAGCGTTTTGTAAGTAGTCTTGCGGAAGTTTCCATTTTCAACCAGTGTGGCGCGAAAATCCTGTGGATGGACTCGGAAGTCTTTTAACGTATCCACTTTTGTAATAGTAAACAGAACCCTGCGGAACCGCTGCAAATTCTGCTCGTCCTACGAAATCTCCGGCGAACTGTCTAAGAAACTCATATCATCTGGTCCTAATATTTAGCATGAAAAACAATCAACCAATGTAGATGATGAGTTTGACTGCCTACAGTAATGCGAACTTCACTAAATGTTATAAAAGGGCTCACAAACTCCCTCAGAAGCGTTACGAAAATGAGAAGAATAGATTTGGAATCAGAGTTTAGAGGTGAGGTGTGACTAGAGAGATGTTGATGTACATCTTATCCCAAATGGCTACAGTCTCCAACTTCTCCCTCATCTGTGCAAAGGCTTCAAAAGCTCACCTTCGATGATAAGAACACCCAAGGCATTGACTGTTTCATGGCAAGAATTGCTTCCATCTACCATGGCTGCATCAAGAAGGCAATGGGAAAGTGCTTCTGCGCACTCAATGGGAGTTTTGATGCACGAGTTGTATTGCAGTGCGCATGACGATATGGTTGCTGAAATTTATGGAGAGATCGGAAAAGGAGACTGGAGCAGAATTCATGATAGAAGTTTTGATAGACCCTCAAGGTGATGAAAGTGTACAAACTTAGCATGAGATCGCTTCCTTAAACACAGGAGTCACAGCTGATTGGAAAACATTTAGGCCCCTTTTAATACAAATAGTGGCACCTTTGTCGAAAAAGTTCTGGTTTTCAGCTTCGCTCCCATACGCCATAAACTACCTCACGCGATCTCAGTCGTGACGCTATTTGGCAATACTTCAGTTGTTCTTCATAACATTGTAAGGGGTTTCTGAATGTACGGAAGATAGGGCATTTTATCAATGAACAAAAGCTATACGTGCTGTGCCTTTGGAGTCTACCAGTATTGAATTTGAAGACATCTGGCAATTTGCCACATCGCGTGGCGACTGAAATCGCGTGCAGTATACTTTGGGTCACAGATGGGATCGCCTTCTTTTTGGGAGCTTCTGTGTGCATAATGACTCTCACTCTTACAAGGAAGGAAAGGTTAGTCGAAGTAGCCTTCTGATATGAAGTTTATACTGCCTTGAAAGGTTTGAAACACTGTTTCCAAATCCATCTTCTTTATCTGCTGCGGATTCCTGAGCGAGGAGCCACAAAGGTTTTTATAAATTTGCCTGTGCAAGCAGGATTAAAACAGTCTAACATTTCTTCTACGGCTTGACTAATTTTCGGGTAACTCTGTGCAATAATTACTTTTAATTCAAACATATTCATTTAATTGTTGTCACTTTGAAACGTTAGAAAGAGTCAACGACTGATTTTGCACTGGTCATGCATTGAATTCTTGCTCATAAAAACCTTCAAAACTCCTTGCTCAGAAACCCGCAGCAGATTAGAAAGGCACATGTGGAATTAGCGTGCACTCTTCAAGTCAGTGTAACTAAATACGGAAAGGCCACTCCGACTAGAGTCAGTTCTCTCGTTAGTACCCATTAATGGCAGGACTGTCGCGACCAAATAATGTCTTGTTGTTTTCTGCTCAATTACGTGTGCGTCATACAGTGAAAAACATGTACTGGGTTTACAAAATGTTTTCAAAACAAGCTCGACTAGACGATGCCAACCATGGCTAATTTGAACCTCCCATTTCATCACTACAATACAAAGCAAGTTAATGAAATTCTGAGTGACCATGATTCGCTGGAATTTTTAGTGGTATTAAATATTTGATGAGGGCGATTGCAAGGTACAGAGATGTTGGGCGTTACTTCTGTTCAAATGACTGTTCAGTTTTACTTCTGTTGATTCCATACAGATGTGGTTTCTGAAGATGCGATGCAAAATTTTCCATGTTGCTTTCTCTCAGCATTACCTTTAAGGGCAGTGTCCAGGCAGATATGAGGACCTTATGAGATGAAATAACAATGAAAGATCCGTAAAAACCAGGGCCGTTAGCGAGAAATCTCCCAAGAAAATTTTAGAGAGAAAGGGGAGAAGGGGATAACTGCAAATAAGTGCGACTGAGTCTGAACGTCTTTTCCCTTCTGCCCGATCATATTATTGAGTTGTACTCCGCACACCTTCCGGATTAAGTACCCCAGAGCTTAATCTCACATACTGAAATACCACAAATCTGTGAGGTCCCACCTACAGCGCTGTTAGAATAGAATACGTTCGAGCAATTTAAGCCCCCAGAAAATATCAATCCTGGCTTGCAAGCTTACGCCATATGGACGAGATCTTCATTGCCAGGGCAAGAACATCGATATTCGCTATAAAAAATCAGACCCACAAACTCATCGTTGGGACCCCACAATTCCCGTCTCAAAAAAGAGAGAGGAGCGCATAGATAATGAACTCCAATTTGTCTACCGTATGCAAATGCGCAAAGTTGCGGTTCAGAACCTTTCTGCTGCTCCCGTAGGAGAATGAAAGATAATTTTCCCATGATGTACGGTAGTGAAATCTTGCTTATGAGAAAATGGACACGGATTTGTTCAAATGCCATTTATGACCTACCATTAACTTTGGGGCAGTGTATGTACAAGTTGCTGTATTGTGTCCTGAGACCATCTGCATTTACCGTGTATTTCACTAGATCGGCTGATTCTGAAAAGACGACTTATATCTTGATGCTGAACTGTTGCCGGTCGTAATATACCAGTGTAATTGGCGCTACTATGATAGGGACCAAAGCCAAATAATTGAACCAGTGAACAAGTGGCTTCTAGTAGATCCTTGCAGTCGTTCCTAGTGATTGTTGCAAGCTGCAATCTTTGGATGATGTGCGAAAACTTTGACGAGTTTTATGTAAATACCGCATTCTTTCCTCAAAGTGTTTGTACTTTCTAATATAAGCAATTAAATAGTCTCAACAAAAAATCTTGAAAATTCTTCTGTTTCCAAAGCACTTGGGAATAGCACTCGCACAAAAATGATTGCCGGTTGCGCGCTTTTGGACGGCAGCTTTTTTGTAAATATGCTTGAGTAAGAACTATTCCCATTTTCTTATTTAAGTTGCCATAGTTCGGAAATTCACATACTCGATTGCATTCACAGAAGTCCTCGTCGCACTTTTCCTGCCGAAGCTGCAGAGTATAGCATTCGTCATGCACAACACAACAATGGTTCACTGGCACTGAAAGATATTCATGTTACTCGTACAAAAACTACGATGATGTGGAAACAGATTTGGTCTGGGATAAAACAATACATTTGAGTAACTTAGACGTTTGAGTAGATGGACCCTACATAAACCATGTTTAAAGTCTTAGATCTGAGGTTGTGGACCCTACGATAAACCATGTTGAAAGTCCAAAGTCTGATGTTGTCTTGCTCCAAAACGTGCATACAAGACATGTACGATCATCATGAAGAGAAGCTTTCATAACAAACTCTTGCACTAGTACTTGCGGATGACATGCATTCGGACTCCACGTGAGTCGTACAAGCGCCGGTGTGATATTACTTTTGATGGAAAGGAATGCGTCTCTGATAGTGCTATTCCAAATCATAAAAGCGCGTTTAGTCAAAGGACAAGAAAAACCCTTTCCTCTCCTTTTAAAGATGTACACTATTGAACGAGCCAAGGACGGGCTGAAGAGAAGCAGAAAGAGTGTGAAATAAGCGACAGAAAATTGGTTTTTGAAAATGCTTTTTTTCAACAAATATTAGCCCTTTTCTTCATTTGGGTAGGTAATTACAATTTTATTTTTTGTATTTCAATATGCGTCATTAGGCGTCGTTAACTTCTCAACGATCAACTGCTCAATGTCAGTTGAAGGATCAACTGACACCTTACGCTAACTCGCATAGGCGATCTCGATAAAAAGTACATGAGGGCATGAGGGCATGATGTTTCTTTAAAAAAATTAGGTCGAAATAAACCTATCACTAATTTATTTGAGAGAAAAAACTAGAAGAAGTCAAGATCAATGCAAACATTCTAGTGTTTATTTGAAATAACCGTGATATTATTTATGGAGTAAGCAAAGTATGTTTGTTGAAATGTGTAGGTGAAAACAAACCTGTGCTTTATAGAGGTGGGAAAAGTTTGCAAAGAAGTGGCCTCCGATATACGTTTGCTTTCTCGTAATTGGGATAGGATTCAAGGACTCAGTTAGCAGGAGTAGGTAAACTTGTCTCGTGTTTGCGTTGTTCTTCACTTCATGAATTTTGCATCACAAGCTTTGCTCCTTGGTTCGCTTCTCTCACATTCCCAAAAAGACCAAAACGAATCGAAAAGCACAAGAAACAGCTGAGAAGGTTAGAATGAGGAATGAGTGGTATGCTTTCTGTGTGTTTTTGATGTCGTCAGCAAATCAAGAACATGAACAGAAGGTGCTGAAAGATTCCGATGATGATGTTTTCTATAGGTGGTGTTTTTAATTTCGAAATCACATTAGATTGTCCACGAGATTTGTTCTTTTTGTGGTCTTATAAAACCTCGTATAAATGAAGGGGTTTTAAAATAATTCGATGCAGCTTCTCCCTTTTTGATTTTATTTTCGACGCTTTCATTTTCTGCACTCTTTTTGAATGCGAAAATCCTTCATTCGTCATTTTTGTTTGCTCGTTTGGGTAATTTGCAAAAATACTGTGGACTTTTAGAAAAAGATTTAGCAAATAGAGCAAATCTCGGCATATACACTAATGCTTTTAGAGTCTTTCGATTTGCTGCTTTGAGCTTTACGAAATTATTTTTCAGTGGTCTTGATTTTTTGGTAAAGTCATGAAACACACATCTGCAGCAAAAACATAAAAATTTTTAGACCTGCTGACTGGAGATTGATTGTCTTAAACATAAATTGGAAGAAATTGGAAAGTAATCAAGTTTGGTTCACTTGTACAATCAGCATTGTGAAAGTTTTGGTCGCCTGTGAGCTATAGTTCATTTATGAAATCGTGACGATGGATTTTGCTGCGAACTTCGCGTCCAAAGGAGCATAGAACGCTCATACAAGAAGGCACCATCTCAAGTAAGCTCAGTCACTTCCAGTGTCTAAATATTATCATACGTAAGCAAAAAACATTCGACTAGAGATGAAAACCAAAAAATGCGATTTCCGGAAGTGGCGTGCGTGTTGCGTGCGGTCGCACCATCGTCGCGATTTTTCAAATGCCCAAACCTTGGTTCAAAAAGCTAGGACGTTTTTCTAAATAAACAATCATTACAGGCCCTAAAAACTTGCTCTATATAACCTGGTATAAGTGAAATGTAGCTAAAGGTTGAATCTACATAACAGGTATAGGGCATTCGAAGAATCGTGACGATGGCGCGACCGCGCGCAACACGCACGCACTCCCAATTCTTGAATTCCATCACTACTCAAATAGTTTTTCTGCTTACATATGATAGCACTCAGGCACTCAAAGTGACTGAGCTTAGCGCTGAGGTGTTGCCTGTTCGTATGGGTGTTTCACCCTTCTGTGTGCGGAAAGACCGCAGTCAAATCGTCGTCTCGATTTTAAAAATGAGCCATACCAGCGGTCTTTCAAAATGCTAGGGTAAACTGTTTACTGCTGGACTGCTCAAAGAACCATGACAATAGTAATGCAAAGACGCATAAATCAAGGAAAAATGTAGATCTCACAAAAAGGCTAAAGATTTCAATCGAATGGTATCAAAGTTGCGTTTTTTGGTAAGAGTGTGTTTCGCAGGTCAACAAGTGGGTAAAAGTTTCCAGATGACCTAACAAATGGTAATTTTTAGCGGCTGAATGGCTTCAAAACTTTGACTTAATGACGACGCAGAAATTACCTACGTGGATGTGGGAAGTGTTAGAGCCATTCTTACAACTTATTATACATATCATACCAACTCAATTAACAACCCCTCCGTTAGGCATTCCACATAGCATTACTATTTCTAATAAAGTCTCAAACAGTAACAGTGTCAATTGTGTCAGAACAGCGGATATTGATCTCCGCAGTGAGTCAATCTCGTTCACAGTTTTCAATATTTATTTGCAGCACAAAAAAGCGATATCTAGCCAAATCCCGTGAACAAGTCTTTCATAATCTTTATTACTTTGCAAAAGTAAATTGAAAACGAAGCAATATTTATACAATAAGCCAATGAGGTGCATGGTGTGAACCAGGATGGAATTTAACAGTGTTTCTTCTTGGTTACACCATTTTATGAACTAACTTGTGCGCTTTAGAGGAAAACAAGAGCTTAAAAAGTGATTACTCATAATGTGACGGCAGTTCATAACATTGCAGAGTTTAACAACTCTGCAGATTTTACTGTATAACAGACACCGCGTGGACGATGTCCTCGGTGAAATACATAGGAAACAGAATGATACAGTCACGCCATTTTCATCGATAATTCAATTTACCGCCTACGTCGTCGACCACTGCAGTTTTATAGCGCCATAGGGCGCTCCGACGAGGTCACCATCACGTGGCCACATTCATCCGAAAAGTTGTGCAACAATGCGTAAGTAATAAACAACACCCCTCTTTGATACTTTGACGTAAATTCTTTATGTGGCGAACAAAGATCTTGTAGTGTGAACCGGAAGGTGGAGAGTCTCGGGCCATAGTGACCTGCACACTAACTTACAGTCTCTCACCTCAGAATTAAACAACTTACTTAGTTCTCTAGTATGCGTACCATTTCACTATGATGGATTTCTTGAGTTATGGGAGAAGGCACAGAGTACCATGTAATTAAAGATTGTCCATCCGAATCTGATAATCCAATTTTACCAACACCGTTGTCTTCCTATCTCTTTCCTTCACTCATTATGGCTTGGGTTACAATTAGAGGAAAGCAAACTCTACGAGATAGCTGCCAAGCGTACGCCTAAATCGTATTTCACCTATGTAAAGCATGGAGCTGAAATCTGATAGTAATGAAAACGAAAAGAAGCGCTGCGAAATGTATCTTCGTCTAAAAACAACCTACAAATCGCCAACTTACCGTAAGCTTATGGCTGACATATTAAACGTTGAATTTACGCTTCACATAATTCTTCCTGTGAAATGATAAAAAATTATGAGAGTTCAATGGCAAACTCTGCCTCTGTTGATCCAGAATCTCCCAACGTGACTATAAAGCTCATGGATTCAGAAGTTCGATCACATAATCGTATTCTTGCAGGTGCCATAATTTCCGAGAAATACTGTAAGGTTGAAATTGGATAAAAATTGTGAGACATCATACATCGTCGTACATCCCCATACCAGAACATTCTAATAGTGCTAATAGTTCTGTTTCATTCAGTACCATAAAATAAGAAATTATTAGATCGTTCCGAAAGTTCTTTCCATTTTTTCGACCTATCATAAGAACACATGGAATGAAGGTAGGGAAACGCCGACGCATTTTTTCTTCCTATTTTCAATAGTTATATTCCTGTGCCGCTTGCTCTTGTGTTCAGTGAGATAATGGCCGAAATTTCGAACTCATGGTTTTTACCATGTCCAATTTTGGCAATTTTTCACAATTTTCTTTTTTGACTTCTGGAGAAGCTTTAATAGCAGTCGGATAGAGTAAACAAAGTGCAATTTGATGGAATTTTTTGGCGATTTCAACTGGCTTCTCAGTATTTTGTGAGACAACTTTTCCAGAAGTCTTTACTTTTTCGAAGTCACAAAACACACAAACGCTCCGAACATTAGCAAATCTTTGGATTTTGACACTATCAAAAGTCGTTTATGATTGTGCACTATTTTTACAAAGTAACAGAGTGTTTACCGCTTCGAAATATAAGATTTCGCAATTTACGTGCACACCCTCAGGCGGGTTCAAAATCAAGAGTTATGGATTTTATCGCCGAAAATCCCCATAAATTGGGAAGAAAAATATTCAATAGAAAGAGGAGGAAAAGCTGCATCGAACGACACCTTAGTTGCGCGCCGTTTCATGTTCTATGGTTGGCATCACCAAAAATGGAATTTGATAGCATCAGAAAAATAAATCTAAAAATTTTTTAAGCCTAGTTACAGATGCCGAAAAATTGCATTAAATTGCACTTTGTTTAATCTATCTGACTGCCTTCAAAGCTTCTCCAAAAGTCAAAAAAGAAGATTGTGAAAAATTGCCAAAGTTGGACTTGGTGAAAACCATGGGTTCGAAATTTCAGCCATTACCTCACAGACCACAAAAGCAAGCAGCACAGGAATATGACATTTGAAAAGAGGAAGAAAAGCTGCGTCGGACAGTGTTTGAAGCGTTCCCATATCTCCATTCCACGTGTTTTCATACTAGGTTGAAAAAACGGAAAGAACTTTCGGAACGACCTAATATTTTTTCTAATATACAGGGTGTCCCAAAAAAATGTTTCGAACGTTTGATCGTTAATATCTCTCTTCCCAAGAAGTCTTTTGCCTTGCTTCAGGTAACGTTTTGTAGAGCTGGCTTCAACTTAGATTTCCATTATAGAACGAATCACCCATCTCTCTTCATTACTGTAGGATTACGGTAGAAACTTGAAATATGGTGTCAATGTGGAAAAAGCTGCCGTTTCAAAATTTTTCAAAAAATTGTGAAAACTTGTGTAATAGGGTTTTTATAGACGCTGAGTTCAATACTCAACTATTCACAAGATTACAAAGCTTTCTAAACGGTGTAATCGCACTTTTTAGGAACATTGAAAAAAAGGCCGCTACCTCTCACCTGGCATAACTCTTCAATGAAGCATCATAATAAGTTGGGAACTTTCCAGTTATAATCAGCAATTCTAACTAGCCTGGTGTAAAAGTTTTCAGGCTGTTTTGTTTCCTTTCTGAAGCAAAATATGGCCTTTCATGGTTTAAAACCCTCTTTGAAGTTTCTACCGTAACCCTACAGTAATGAAGAGAGTTGGGTGATTCGTTCTATAATGGAAATCTAAGTTGAAGCCAGCTCTACAAAACGGTACCTGAAGCAAGGCAAAAGACTTCTTGGGAAGAGAGATATTAACGATCAAACGTTCTAAACATTTTTTTTGGGACACCCTGTATATTGCTTTTGTAACTACTAGATTGGTGAAAAAGTGATACGCGTTTTTCTAACTCTTGTTTCAGAACAACTTTTTTCCATAAAAGTTTCTTCTTCGGGACCTGGCAACTATCAAAAAGCTCTTCATGCTCTATCCGGTGGTGATTAAAACAACCTTCTAGCCTCTTTCCTTAAAAATTTATAGAGCTTCAACCGCACTCGGAACCAGAATTTTATTGCATCTACTTTTCTGATCAGAATTCAAACGCAAATGAAGGCATTCTTTTGGAAAATCAGCTACTACGTGCAGTAGGAATTGTCCACATTATGCACATTTTACTATTTATCTAGGAATTACTAAGGCTGAGATTCCGGCATGGATAGTCGTTTCGGTCTTTCTATTTGACTTATACAGCGAAAACTCAAAAAGGAAAAAACTTATGGGACAACCTAATAGTTTTTGAAATGTGATTTAATGAAGGTGAATATCTTGTTTAATTCTTTCGCTAGAGGTTTGGTGCTACTATATGTTGCACCTGTAATGAATCTGAATTTAATAGGAGTTTTGTGTAGTTTTGGTAAACAGTATATCAATGGTACATTGTTGGAATCTTGTGGATGAAGTTTGTTATCTGAACAAATATTTTTATGTCTTTGAATTATACTGCTAACGTCGCGGCTCGCGATCGACCGCTCCTCACAGCATGTGGCCGGGAGCACCGTGTTGCCGCGCGTCTCGGTCGTGAGCACGGTCGCCGCGCTTTATGGCGGCTACCTTGTTCGCTCCGAGACCACACCACGTAGGCACGCCCCCAGCCACCGCTATAAATAGCGCGTACGCGCGCCATTGCGGCCTCTCTCGTCTTATCATCTTACTGCTATCGTCGTGCCGCTCTCATTATTGATTGGTTGGGTTTCCACGATACCGTCGTCTTGTCTACGTCCCCGTGCCTCGCGCGATTGGATGGATTGTTGATGAATTGTTTGGAGGAACGCGCGAGGATAGAATTCCAGGATGATGAATGTCACGAAGCGCCGTGGTCTCGCAGGAGTCGTTGGGAGGTTCGATGCTGCTGGTCAACATCATGCGCTAGATTATAGACGACGAGATTTAGCTCAAAAATTTTTTTAAATCGAAATTCAATGATATAAGAAAATTTGCTTTGCAGATGTGCCTGTGCCTGTCCACGCTGCCTATGTTAGCAACTGTGACGCGGACTCGCAATCAGCGAGATCAGTTTTGAGCACATGGAACCGGCTGACACTGTGTCGCCTGTGAAGGAGTTCTGGTAAGACTTTTATTTGAAACTTACTGCGTTTGTGGGAACATGGGAACTTTTAATGCAATACTCTTGTTTGGCGACCGAATGACAGAGAAAATCCATCACTGGTCCAACCATATATGGTGTAGAGTAAATAGTTTCTTTCTTTCAGGTTACATCACCACCTCCGGATCTCGTCGCTTGGAAAAAAAAATCTCGCTTGGAAACCCAGCGAGAACATGAACTTTGGCTATCAATTTGTGACTCTGGAGAACCCCAGCTCTGTTCGTCAGTCCCAGTGATAGTGAGCGTAGATGATTTAAATGACAATGCTTCAACCTTTTCGCAACCGATTTAGCATTATAATGTACCAGCCGGTGTGACGGGTTTTGTGAGCAGGTAAATATGGTAAATTTCTTTTGGCGAGTGGAAAAAGTGCTCGATTTCCAGGGGTGATGTGGATATAGGGAAGAACGCAGAGCTTTTCTACAACATCACTGATGGAGATTCGAGGTTTACAATCGATGAAAGTGGATATATTGCTACGAATGTGCCGTTGAAAGCCGAAGAGGTAAGCCTTTGAATCTGTAATTGAATCCGGTTCGCAAATTTTGGAGTGAAGACACAGCTTCTGTTAGATGGACTGGTGCCGCGCATGTTCCGAAAAAATCCGGGTGATTTTCAAGTTTCTCGAAAATTTGAAGGGGGGGGGGACGGGGATAGCCTCATTCCAATTAAGCTAATTCAGATTTCGAAACATCATGGAGTGAATTCGTTACTTGTATAACATTATAACCCATGTAAACTAATGAAAAATCCTGCGGCTCATTTTTGTGAGGGGAGGGATTGTGTAGAGCTGAGCGCCATCATCTACATCGCTTTGAATCCATTTGCCCTGTCTTAAAAAGGGGGAAAATACCGGAAAAATCAGCGTAAAAAGAGGTTTCTGGAAAATTATTTTTACTTACTAACACTTCTTCAATCGGTATATTTTGAGGTGGTAACTCTTACGATCCAAGCTACCGATCGGGGTTTACCAGCTCAAATGACCCAAATCCGAGCAATTCTCACTGCTGTAGCACTTCTCCAGAGGACCAAGGATGCTAAAAATCAGGCGCCCAGCTTTGGAAAGAACGATGGCCGGCAAATTCCTGTCTCGGATGCTGATCAGGTATTTTTCTCAAATTCTTATTCTATTTGGAAAAAGAAGAAAATTCGGCTTTCAGGTCGGATTCACCATTGCTAAGATTGAAGCCGTGGATCCAGATGGAGACCCGATTTGGTGGAGCATCTTTGGAGGAAATATGAATGAAACCTTCGCTCTAAGACCTAACAGCGGCCTCCTTCAATTGGCTAAACCTATCGAGAGCCTTGCCCGAAATGTCACTAACATCGTTTTGACAATCAAAATCACCGATGGGCAACTGAATGCAACATCTGGGCAAGTCACCTTAATTCTATGGCCTAAACTAATTTTGAAATGAATTTGCTTCAGATTGCTGTTGAAGTGTCGCGATTACCTATAACTCGACCGCAGTTCTCAGCACAACATTATAAATCCAGATTTCGGAAAAAACCGCGGTTGGCACGCCGATTTATACTGTCCGAGCAAAGCAACCTGGAGCCGGAAAAGCAATTAAACCGCTAGTGTACGGTATCCGTTCGGTGGAGGACACCAACATGGAGGACAAACTTCGTGTGGAGCCAACGTAAGCTTGTTCATCTCTTAAACTGCATTTAGACTTGACGGTGCCGTCCCAGCTCCATGTTAAAGTACCAGCGTCGTGTTAGCGCCGTGCCGAGCTGTGCCAGTAGAGATCTGTTGACCAATAGATTATGAGCTGCTCTGGACGCTCGCTTGATGCATTTTCTGTACCACTAATAAATTTTTTTCGTTTTAAGACCGGCAACGTACTTATGATGGAATCACTTGATTATGAAGTCTGTCGTGAAATTTGTGCGATCATCTACGCTCGCCAAGGAACTCTTACCAACTATGTGACACTGACGGTGACTGTGACAGATGATAACGATAATGCACCAAGATTCGTTCACAAGGACTACTCGGTTACGTTGCCAATGAGGTAAGGCTTTAGATACGTGTGTACAATTTTTTACATCATGTCCTACCAGTCAACGAAGTTTTCTTGAAAACGGCCCTTTTGCACTATACTACCGTATACTACCGTAGCGTCCCATGAGCCCGGCACCTGACGCTCTGAGATGCTTCTTGTCCAGGCGTAGGGTCGCTGCATCAACACTGACAGCAGCATGCGAAAAGTCACTGGAGTACGGTAGCATAAAGCAGCGGTGCAAAACGCCCGTTTACGTTTCTTTGTCCAAAAATTGGTTTGATGACTGGCAAATAAGCTTGAAACTTCGTTCTGTCTCTTACCTCAAGGATTTCTTTAGGGAATGAGCTTGGCTTCTTCTCACTAGAGCCCGTACTTGGAATCGTTAGCCTTGCCAAACTTCTCCCTTCACATCATACCGAGTCGATTCTGACCGTACGTGCAACTGATGGTGGTAAATATCCGCTCAGTGACACGGCTAACGTAATCCGAACAGACCGTACAATGGTCATGGATTTAGATTCACTAGTTATGGTTCATCCTTTAGTGCTGGAGTAAACGCTACCAAAAACTTTGCATTATAAAGAGCTCTATCAACGAACAGTGAGACCCTTCATAATTTGATCTAGCTATTATAGAATTCAAATGTGATGGTGAAATCTCAGAACGATTACTCTGTACACTACATGAACTCCATGCTATCCATGGCTCAACGAATTACTATCTAAAAAGTAGGTGTTTTACTTTAACGTTTTTTAGAAGGCAGGTGACTCAATTTTTCTCTTCCGAAACCTCTCGCGTTTCAGACTTCATATTGCGGCGATTGCTTGAGCTAGGATCTGGTTTGAGTGAGCGCTTTAGGCGAGGCATCCTCCCACCCAGCTTTTTTGTATCACTCATTAACAAACTGGAGCTCAGCTACGTCGATTTCATAGAGGTTTTGTCATCAAAGTATAGGTGAGCTCTTTAGAATAGATTCTGGATTCTGATAGTGATCACGATGTTCACGGTTTTTTGTTGCTCTTTTGATTTAATACTTGTTTTTTTTTCAGAACTGGCGATCCTTGGTGGACGCAGAATGAAGCTGGACAAATATATCATGGAGGTTGGAATAGCCGTAGTTCAAGCTTTCCTAGATAGTGGAGCAAAATTCACACCAAAGGAAAGGTATGAGCGGAGCTTAAAGCTGATTTCAGAAGTTGTGATTGATGTTTTCAGGGCGTAATAGCAGCTGTGTCAAGGTTCTTCCTTGATGCTCGAGCTGTTTCGTCACAAAATCTTCTGCAGGTTGATCGACATTTTTCCGCGCTACATTTACGTCTCACTGCAATGTCCTCATAATATAGATAGTGTCATTATTCAAGTTGTTGTTGAATTTGGAAGAATAAAACGGAAAATTCAGTACGGTGATGTTAACGGTTGTTAGCCATTACTCTCATTTGTTGTTAATATGTATGGCATTCTTGTTCTTTCGTTTTTATATACTCGCTCATTTTTTGTTTTTTTTTTGTAATAGATGAATAATTGTTTCTGTTTTTTTTCGCCAATAAAACTTGTTTTTTGGTTAAAGTGTTCACTGCAGAATCACTGGGATCAATTTTTGGGTCAAAGGGGAAATCGTAAAAAATTTTTGAGTCAAAGGGGAATTCGTTTTCGAAAACCCCTTTTGCCCACCTCGTGCCGGGCCCTGGTTAGTTGACACAAGCTTGCAGACCAGTTACCAGTCACTAGTTGGCACGCGCATACTTGGGCGTGTTTTACATGCACTACATGCATCTATAACGGACTGAAGAGCTCTTTTCGGACGTTTTTGGCCCATTTGCTGTTCTTCTGTTGATTGAGGAAGTGAGAAGTGAGGTGCTCGAGACACCTAGATATTTGGCACCTATAGAGTCAATATTCAGGGATTTTACTTATTGATGTTTTTTGCGAGTTTCGATACATGAACCAACTTCAAAATTTCGACACCGTTGAACTTGTTCGCAAAATGCTGCCGTCTCGCCTTCGAGTAAAACATTCGTCAAAATTTAATATTATGTAATCATCCCCCTTTCCGCTATTCGAAACGCCAAGTCTGGCGGCAGTCTAGTGCCCGTCGTTCCCAATGGATTCAAATCACTGACAAGGGAATGGTCAGAAATCGAAGTGGCCATTTTAAGCAAGCTGCATACCATTCGATGCAGCATAGAATGCTGATTTCAGATCTGTCTTCCATATCTGCAGAACACCTTTCTAGGCGAAGTTATAAGCCATCAAAAGTCATTATTTTGCATAGATGTGCTTGTAAAGGGCAAACTTGGCCGTACAAAGTCATTCGCGGCTCAGTGTTGGACCAAAACATGCTCAGAAACTAGGTCACTTTATATGGCCCGTAACTAGAAGTGAGCTGAAAGAGCAATAATGTGCCTAAATTTCGCAATTTCTACGAATTGCCCGCATTAAAGCTGCTCATAACATCGCCTACAAAGGCGCTCTGCACATATGAAAGACAGATTTGAAATCAGCATTTTATGCTGCATCGAATGGTATGCCGCTTGTATGGATTGGCTACTTCGACTTCTGACCATTCCCTTGTGAGCCAGGCCAAATTTAGCTGTTCAAAGTGAAAGACACTCGAAGTTGTTAGGTCGTCGAGGTTTTTGTCTGTTTTTTTGTTTTCTCGCAACGGCTGCAAGTGAAATCCAGCTAAGGGCCACTTGTGAATGTGCTAACATGGTTTGCACCACTTTTGCCAGAAATGCTTGGAACGAGGTGTTAGGGATTATTTTTAGCATTCACAAACACTTTCAACAGAATATCTGCTCTCGTCTGCTGTTATGTTCCGAATTCTAGCCCTTTATCTCGAGAGGCTTGAAAATATTTACACAACTTTGTTACTTACCTTTTGAATTTGGTCGATTTCATTCACGAGCTCTTCGTGCTCAAAAGTTTTTTACTCGGGCCATGGCGGCATCCGAAACATAATTCATTTCTGTTTGGAGAGGTCTTGGCCCACAAATACAAGTACGTATTGTTTACTGATTTTTCACAAAGCTTCATTTTCGCTTGTACTTGAAAATCTTTCCTCTTTCAACGGTGACTGCCATTCTGGCGAAAATTATTGTTAGCAGTCATTTTGCGCTCTCCTTCTCATTCTGCTGATAGTACAGAAACTGACTGACTTTGATGCTAAATATCTGCACATCATTTGCTCCTCAAAAAACACTGTAATTTTTCGAGTCTAGCTTCCGTTTATTCGCGCGATCAAAATATTTTAAGAAGACAGAATCTTTCAGAGTTTGGCTGACGTAAATCATGATCTTTGCGCTTCGCGAACCGCTCTTCTGCTATTCATGCATTCCCTCGATTGCGAACTGAGTAATTGTCTCTAAATGACCAAAGAGTGCTTTCGTCGTTTATGAGGCTGGTGGGACACTGGCTCAAGTGCGGCAATCGTGATGAGAGCCATTCGTACAATTACGAGAGCATATTTGATGTGCGAGCCATAAAAAGAATTTCTTGATTATCTATGACCAAAGTGAGTTGGGTCAGCAGAAAGATGTGATGAATGATGCTACTTACGGGTATGAGAACGAGTTTACCCTGTCCCTTCTCTCGAAATGTCACGCGGTTTTTAAATTGTGAGTGAATTGGTGAATTATTTGTGAAATTAGTTGGAAAGCTAATCAAGTAATATTTCAACGTGGTCGATACATTTCAGGGTGTCACTTCCGGGTTCTCATACTATTCGACCAAGATTTGTTTGAATATTCGACGGTTTATACAAAATATTTGTTTATTCGAAATTTTTTCGAATATATTCGAATACTCGAAATTTTTTCATTTCGAAGTTATTCGATAGTCGATTATTCGACATTTCTGATTTCTGAAAAATATTCGATATTTGACGTTTCTTATTTTCGAAAATATTCGAAATTCGTTTATTCGATATTTTTGATTTTCGAATATATTCGATTATTCGATTATTCGAAAGAAAATTCGATTATTCCAAAGTATAATGTGCACACGCGCCTATTGATCAATCGATGTTCAAGAACAACGCTAGCACGACTCTGCCACGGCGCTGGCACGGGCAACTCTGGGAGCAAGAGGAGCTCGCAAAAAGAGCGGGTATTATTCCAAAAATTTACCCGTATGTTGATCGATCCTGAAGAAGCTTTGTGGGTCACCTTGAGAGATCTTATACCGTAGCGAAGGCGATGATGAATCTTGATTCACATCGTCTCCATCGGTCGCGTCAATCTTCACCAAAACAATGTTCTAAAATTGCAATATAGAGGTTGCCAGTATGAGTAAAAGAAAAAAATTGAAAGGTCAAAATCACACCTGTGGCGAGTTTTCCCTCACACTGGCATAGTAAATCGGCAACTGTGGTACAGGGCGATGATCATTCTTGTCCAGTACTCGAACAAACACATGTAGCACACCAGTCTTTGGCACACGACTTTGCGGAATGTCGTTAGCTTCAACCGTAAGCCAGTAGGTGCTTTGTTCTTCACGGTCCAGCACTCGAGATGTTCGGATAGCTTCTGAATTCACAAACGTCATTCAAAAAAAGTTGGATGAAGGGCGGTGCAAAAATCTTCATCGAGTGGGAAGATCCAAATACGTTCTTGTTAATCAAGACATTACATCAACTTTCACTTTTCTTTTGAACATTCTAATTAGGAAATACCTTCAAAAAGGAGTTGAAGGCAACAAACATTGTTGAGCACAGAACAACATACAGGCATTTAATAACATGCAAAGCATAATTAAAGGTGGTACACCTCTTCGCATTGTTCTTTTTTCTTCCGACAAAAACTCTGCTCTGAAAGGCCAAAATCCTGATAAACTGGATGAAGAGAAGAAAGTTGAACGAGTCATATCCCTTTCTTCTATGATTCACACTCGTCGATTTCATCCTTATTTTTCAGTATCCATTATCGTTGCGTTATTTTCGCGCTGTCAATTTTCACGAACTACTTGCTTTTACCTCAGTTTTGAAAATCGTACAAAATTTGAAAATTCTTGGTTGTGACGACCAGTTATAGTTTCGCTTGATCGCAGAGATTTCTCTGACACTGTCAGGATATTGATGAGGATTTCTACACTTTTTCAATCTAGAACTTTCTTCATTCTCCTACAGAAAAAACCTAAATTTTCTCAGGGAATATTTTTGTTTTTTGCTGTAGGTATCAAATTATCTAACAGGTTAGGATATCGATTTAGGATATTTACAAAAATTTTTACATCTATGATCGATCTATGATCGCATCTATGATCGCGGCTGCACTACGCCCAATTGCATTATATGCCCTGAGGGTAGGCGCGGGGACTGCATGGCGACGGGGGTCATCTATCTTATCACCTGCGCGAACTGCGGCGACGAGTACATAGGCGAGACAGCGCGGCCGCTATGTGTTCGCATTAGAGAGCACTTAGACGGCAGGGATAGATCACGAACCTCCACCCCACTAGGCACTCACAGGACGCTGAAACACGCGGAGACAAATTTTGACGTCTCAGTGAAAATCCTGGCGCATGAATCACATACACCGGCTCGCAAATGTTTAGAGGCCTTTTGGATCCATGCCAAAAGCCCTAAAATGAATCGTAAGGAAGAATGCCTATCCATCACTCGTGAACTCGCTCCGTACCTAGGTCAGATCTTCTGACCCGCGGAGACGTCATAAATAGCCGGCCATTAGCGTTTAACCATATTGTTCTCGCTCTGGCATCAGAATTCCATCGGCGTTTCAAAAGGTGAGTGTTTGGTCAGGCAGTTAACTATCGGTCTACCAAAGTCTTAGAGTTTTGTTTGCATAGCTGCAGAGACGTTTGGTCGAATACTTTGCAAGTCGTTCTGTCCATTCCAGGCTCTGAAGAAGGCGACTTGCCGAAACGTCAGCCAATAAATTGTTAACAATCTCGGATCACGGCTCAGTAACATAAACAACAATATCATGGGGTGAGTGTTGCCGTGCCGTAGTGCTGCCTTGGCGGCGCGCGGCCGGCCTGTGGGTAGCTCCCTTGGATGCCGGGAGAGTGTGAGAGTGTGTTAGTGTGTGAGTGTGAGTAAGCTAGAGTCCCCATCAGTAGCCCGGGGTAGAGCTCAACTCTCCCCGTGGTGAATGTATTTTTATATTTGTTTTATGTCGTGTATTCTTTGTGTGTTTAGTTTTTTTTAGTAAATTTATGTATGTTCATTGTCGTGTGCAGTGTAGGCGTAACGCGCCGTTGTGGGCACGGCCCACCCGCAACCGCGGAACTCCTTCGGGGACAGGAGCTGCGGCGCAAGGCAGTCGAGCGCTAGGGGGGGGGGTGCAGAGCCCACCGAGCCGCAACAGCTAATGAATGTGAATATTTTGTTTGATTCTAATTTGTTAATTTGTGTTAGTTTGCTAATTTGTTCTTTATTGTATAAGTCATGTGTTATATTTTGTAAAAACAAAGTTTTTTTGTTCTATGAAATCGAAGCCTAATTGTTCATCATTACCTGTATGTAGAATTTGGTGCAAATAATAGCAAAATTGTTATTTTCTTTGTAGGCATATTAGAAAATTGTTTCTAAAGGTTTTGAAGTAATCGCAGTTAGAGTTGTATGTTACTTCACTTTCAAGCTTTTTTCTGTATAGGAATAGTTTTAATTCATAGAAGAACTTTCTATTCAAATAGTTTTTGATGAGCTGTAGTATTTCAAGGTTTGAATTGTATTTTTTGATAAAAGTTAGTGCAATTGATTCAACAGTAATGTGTATCCATTCTTGTAAAGTGCGGTTCATAATTATGCGAACACCTTAAATTCTGAAAGTTTTTGGACTTTTTGGAAGAAACTCAAAAAGCCGTTGGTACCACGCGATAGAGCACAGCCGAAAACGGTACATGATCTATAAGAATGGAAATCGATGTCAATCTCAAAAGTGTTTTTGCGCTTAATGGGAATTTTTAGCGGTTCATAATTATACGAACACCTCAAACAAAGGTCCATTTTTTATTGAAGATTGCGATCTTTCGAGTCCAAATTTTTTGTAGAGTTACAGTAACAAAGTCTCACGTATCTGCTACACACTAAACCCAGTGCAGTTCAAGAAGAGGGTCTTTACTTTTTTCAGATGGCTGTAAATGCTTTTAGAGTGATTGCGCTCAAAAACCATCCGTTCTTCTGTAGTTCACGCACTCTAATTAACTTCTACCAAGGCTATGAGATAAAATAAGCTCCTTCGATAGGTATTTTGTTTAGCGCTTGGAAAATCTTTGCGTTTCCGTGCCGTTTTCCAACCATGTTCCAACCTTACCCTGAAGTTAGCATAATTTCAACCCTCAAAACTCAGCTTTTCTCCCGCGCAAACACTTGATATGAAGCAGCTGCATTGTTTGCATGATGTTGTATCCGTGCTGAAGTTTTTGAGTTTTTTGCACGACTAGTCTTGAGGCTATGGAGCTACAAACCTAAAAATGCGTGATTGCAATAGTAAAAACAAGGGTTTTGATGAAATGACGTCTGCGTGGCCGAAACAAACGCTCAATGCTGCTGATTTTTTCTAGCCAAATACACAGTCTTGTAAACTTCTACATACTATAAGCTTACTTCATTGTAGGGCTTCAGGAGCTGTGTTTAGAGGTTTTAAGTCGCACCAACTCTAGGGTAAGGTTGGAACTTGGTTGAAAAACGGCAAAAAAATATAAAGATTTACCAGGCGCCAAACAAAATGTAAATTAAAAAAGCTTATTTTATCTCAAAGATTGTTAGAAGCTAATTAGAGTGCGTGAACTACAGAAGAACGGATGTTTCTGGAGCGTAATCACTCCAAAAGCATTTGGAGCCATCTGGAAAAGTAAAGATCCTCTTCTTGAACTGCACTGGGTTTAGTGTGTAGCAGATATGTCAGACTTTGTTACTGTAAGTCTACAAAAAATTTGGACTCGAAAGATTGCAATCTTGAATGAAAAATGGACCTTTGTTTGAGGTGTTCGTATAATTATGAACCGCTAAAAATTCGCATTAAGCGCAAAAACACTTTTGAGATTGACATCGATTTCCATTCTTATAGATCGTGTACGGTTTTTGGCTGTGCTCTATCGCGTGGTACCAACGGCTTTTTGAGTTTCTTCCAAAAAGTCCAAAAGTTTCAAAATTTAAGGTGTTCGTATAATTATGAACCGCACTTTATTTCTTTCTTTGTACTGTTTTGTATTCTATATTTTGCTTCTTTATTCATAATAAATTTTAGTTTTTCATCTTGTGTAAGCTTTAGGTTTCCAGTGATTGTATGTCCATGATGTTCGTCCACATAAATTTTCATATAAGGTTTCTTGCAAGCACATTCTGTTTTGAGTACTTTAGATATTTGATAATTGTCTAATTTATTTGAAATGTTGTTATAGTTAAAATTTTTCTGAGATATAGGTGGTTCATATGTTTATATTAACCTACATGGATTATAATTTTTGTTATTATTTTTTAGTTTGTTAATTATATAAGTATTGTTAATGATTTTATCAAAACTTACTTGGTCTAATATTTTTTGTATAAATAGTAGAAATGTTGATATAATTAATGTTTTTCTTTTCTTTGATGTTTTTGTATTGATATTTACATAAAATGCTGAGAGTTACTATGCCTACTGTTGGTTTTAGTTTTTCTAGGAATTCTGGAATGTAACATGCTGTTATTATGGTTTTGATAAAAATGTTTTTCAAGGAGCAAATGTACTTGTATGTTTGAGATTGTGTTTCAAATGTATTTATTTTATCTACATGTTTCCAAAGTTTCTTTATTTTTATTTTTATGTCGTTTTTTGCTACGTAACCTATCTTTTATTATTAAGCTATAAAATGGATGATTGTTTTTATGCAGTAGGTGATTGTTTGTAACGAATATATTACCGTATCCTTTGATGTTGTCATTGAAACCAAATGGGTGTGCTGTGTTGAGCAGTTTGATCCAAAATAGTTCTTTATTTACAAGTATATCTTTGTCTTTATTGTCTACTAGCTGGTTGCCCCGGTCTTACCCGAGACTTCAAGTTAATTAAGCCAACAGAACTTGCAAACTTACGCCTCTAGATTTCTTCTAACATTCGCATAAAGCGCTTTCAGACTAATTGCCGCACCCTACCGACTTTGAGACTGAAATGGACTTTACCGCCCCTGCTTACATGCTTATATGTAAAAATGATCGGTTGCCGTGATGGCCCTTCATTTTCTTAGGTTTGAGTAAACAAATCAATAAATCGATAGAATGGCCCTGCGAATCGCCGCGGAAAGTAGCTCTAAACCACCGCCGGGATCGAAAACATACGTGTGCGAAGTTTCAGCCGGACCGGTTCAGTGGCGCGCGTTTCTATAACGAACGAACAACTAAACGAACATCCTCACAGACATTGAGTTTTATATATATATATATATATATATATATATATAGATGTTATCAAGTATGTTTATTATTATACTTCGATTTTTACAAGTATGATTGAAATGTTCATGGAAGTAGTTTTGTATATCATTTTGATGTGGTAAATATGTTCCTTGATTCTATTTTTTAACTTTCTTGTTGTCATACCTACCTACTGTTATTTACGTTCTTTGCACATGACACAATAAATTACAATTTGCTTGTACATAGTATATTAGTATTGCAATTATATATTGCAATATGTGAAACTAGTCCTGTTGTGTTACTTTCTATGTAAGGCTCAAGATCTCTTATATCACACATTGCACATTTAAAGAAGCATTTTGATGCAGTGTTATTAAATGTTACCTAAATTACCCAAAATGTAAATATTGTTTACCCTACTTTTATGGAATTGTATTAGTTTGAAGTAATCATAAACGCCGTAAGGTATAGTTTTTTCGAACCAATCTGATAAGCTACCCTGGCAGGCTCCTACCCTGAGAGTGCTGGGAGAATGTGATTTAGCAGGGCTGCTGCTTGGCTCACGACAAACCCGATATGTTTAATGAATTTTCAAAAGGTTATGTGAGTGAATAAAGAGATCCATGGAGTCACAGGAGGAGTATCCCCCTAGTCCTCACTCCCGCTTGTATTACCCGTCATGGAGTCTCCCTATTTTTGATGAACAAAAAGTATGGCCCTCTCAGAGACTGTTCATGCATCTATAAGTTAGTATAGTCTTACGACTAAGGAAAAGAAAAGAAAAAGAGAAAGGGAAACTAGAGCAATGTTTCCAATTAACCTAGACGGTTGTACTCACCTAATTATAATTTTAAAAAAAAGAAAGGAAAACTTACATTATTCTTTTCTGGATAGAATAGTAAGATAAACATTAATTGATTTCGTTTTTGGTTTCTTTTATTGCATTCTAATGCTATTTATTTATATATTTATTTTACTGTATGTTGAAAAAATTTATATCTTATTGTAAGTTAATTGTTTCTATTGAGTCAGTAACTTAGTTTAAGAAGAATTGGAGAAAATTTGTAATGTTTTTAGACCAATTTGTTTGTGTATTCCATAAAAATGAAATGATAATTAGGACTGCAATAATAATAAAAGAAAGTTAAGTAGTCTGTTTAATTTAACTTTCTTCTTCGCGTAGAGATGGTGGGTTATACACATTCATTCTACCCACATCCCAAAACTGCGCAAGATCCGGCACAATGGACTAGTCCGACACGGACCGCTGTGAAGCGGAGTCCTGTGGTTGTATGTTAGCTCCCAGTTTCCTTCCACAACTAAACACCGGACTTAAGGCAAAACATTGCCAGGTTCACTATAACCTTTCCTCCACAGTTGCACGGTGTTCATGAAAACGACATACAGTCTACAAGGTGTAGGGAATTCCTCTTAGAACGACCAATTTACTTTATCTGTTTTCGCAATGAAATCCCAAGTTTATATTTGTAACTTAATTTCACAAGTTGGCATATGTGAAACACCAGTGCTTCACTTCTGCTTCGCAGAGGTTTGCACTGGCCATCATGAACCCTGGTAAACTCACTCTTTGAAAGCTTGCCTCTCAAATCACTGTTCGGTTGACTGCAGCATGAGAGCCGTAGTTAAAAATGAACCATACTTGCTATCTTAACCTCACATGATGTTTAGTATTGTAAATCATTCCTTACTGTGATTTCGTAACAGACAGGCTTACAGACCGACAAATAAGCGGCTTATTATAAGTCATGATTGTCAGATTCATATATCTATTACATCATATATACAGGGTGTCCCAAAAGTATGTATCGAACGTTTGATCGTTAATAACTCTCTTACCAAGAAGTCTTTTGCCTTGCTTTAGGTACCGTTTTGTAGAGCTGGCTTCAACTTAGATTTGCACTATAGAACGAATCATTCATCTCTCTTCATTACTGTAGGATTACGGTAGAAACTTGAAACATATGGTGTTAATGTGAAAAAAGCTGCCGTTTCAAAATTTTTCAAAAAATCGTGAAAACTTGTGTAATAGGGTTTTTATGGACGCCGAGTTCAATAATTAACTATTCACAAGAATAGAAGCTTTCTAAACGGTGCAATCCCACTTTTTAGGAACATTGAAAAAATGGCCGCTACTTCTTACCTGGCATAACTCTTCAATGAAGCATCATAATAAGTTGGGAACTTTACAGTTATAATCAGCAACTCTAATTAGCCTAGTGTAAAAGTTTTAAGGCTGTTTTGTTTCCTTTCTGGGGCAAAATATGGCCTTTCATTGCTTAAAACCCTCCTTGAAGTTTCTACCGTAATCCTACAGTAATGAAGAGAAATGAGTGATTCGTTCTATACTGCAAATCTAAGTTGAAGCCAGCTCTACAAAACAGTACCTGAAGCAAGGCAAAAGACTTCTTGGGAAGAGAGTTATTAACGATCAAACGTTCGATACATACTTTTGGGACACCCTGTATATATTAGGTTGTCCCGAAAGTTTTGTCGGTTTTTTTCATCGCTCACTAAAACTCGCAGAACACTAGTCCATAAACGGTCTAGGTACCATTTGATTTAGATTTTCATCCTCTTTCTTACAACTGTATTTGCTCTCTGAGCTATCCTGTCTTTGCAATGTTATCGCCATGGCTTTTTGAACAGCTCATCAGTAACTTCAAACATTTCCTGAATTTTAAAAGATTCTATACTGACACTTCTAGGGAGCGCTGGTAACTGTTATGTAGAGGAAGCCTTTGGCTACATTGTGTTTATTTTAGATTACATGGGCCATGTTTACCAGGTCCGTTATAATTATTTATTTAATAAAAACCGCTGCTTTTTGATTACGTTTACCACGTAAAAGTACCGAAAATTCCAAAAAGCTGCTTTTTTGAAGCAAGTCAAACTGGGTAATGTTGCATAAATAATGTTTAATATAAATCATGTTTCAATTTTCAGAAACTTTGAAAGCTTTCATGTATTTGCTGCAGTTGCGCGTTTCATGACTTTGCCAAAAATCGACACCTCCAAAGAAATAATTTTTTAATGCGAAAACCAGCAGATTAGTGGAATCTAAAAGTAATATCTTGTAGTCCGAGAATTGATCTATTTAATCCTTACCTAACTCTTTCCGAAAATTTGAAATGAAATTTTCAAAAATTAGCCGAACTTTGAGCAGACAAAAATGACGGGTGGAGAATTTCAGCAATTATCAAAGAAAGCATGCAGGATTGTGGTTCGGAAATGTAACCACAAGAAAGAGAAGGAAAAGCTGCATCGAATACATTCTGGAGCTCATTCAGATCTTCATTGTGCGTGGTCTTATAGTGGTCTGAAAAAACCGACAAAACTTTCGGGACGACCTAATATATATCATTTCATAATTGCAAAATTCCTATGTAGGATAATTAACTCATTTTTACTTTTTGTATAGAACTCCTAATATTATAATCGTAATCTCATAAGTTGCTATAAGTACGTGTTCAAAATTCTTGTTTTAAAATTTTGTAACATTTTAATTTTGATAAATTGATATGATTTAAATCTTGTAATAAAAAACCAAGTATGTTGTTGAACACATCGCCATTAACAATTTGCTAATGGGTGGCTAGTGCTCTGCAAATTCTCAGGGTGCTGCATGTTATCTCCAGCTATTCAGCACCTTTTGCATCGTCATTGCTCTTGAGTTGTTATGAGACTGATGATTTCAAAATATTAGGCAATCGAGTAAGTTTGGTAGAGAATGTTGCATTTAGCTCAACTCTGCATCTCATTCTGACTATAAAGGTTGACAAAATCATTGAAGTAGAGGAGCTCAAAGCGGCGGCTGGATAATCTTTTCCTAATGACGATGAACTATCAGCTGACGACATCATCAAGACACTTAGATCAAATCATCAAATTGTAGAGCGTTGCTCGTTCTTCCATGTTTATATGTTACATTGCATGATTGTTTTATTTGTATCACCATGTTTTTGCTATGCATTTGTAATCCTGAATAAAAGCCAGTATGTTTTTTTTTTCAAAAAATCTGTTAAACCTGGTGTGATAATCACATTATGGTGCGTTAAGCTTTGTTTAGGGAGTGTACGAGCATCAGGTATGATGAACAGTGGTACATTTTGAAGTACTGAGTACTGCGATCGAACGAATTAGTTCCCACCCACCAAGGTATAAACTCACTGAAAGTATGTATCACTGTGCAAGAACATGGCGAAACGTAGCCTTGTTAATAATGACCAGTGAACATGGAAGCGGACTATGTCTTAGAAGGAAGTGTCACACGGACAAAAGGTTTCAAGTACAATTGTCGTCTCGAAATCTTCAGAATTATCTCCAGATCGTTCAGGTTCACATCTGAGTCGTCCACAAATTTTTTTGTTGAAACATAAAATATGTATCCACGGCATCGTCATTGGTGATGTTGTCTTCGCAGTATTTTCCCTTGCGGCATCTTTTTGCGGATAACGTGTTTTTTTGGCGGCCGAATTGAACGGGCATCTACATAAAATCTTATTCTGCCCTGAACTAAAAGTCACAACTGTGGTTATACTATATTATGAGCTCCGGTACCGCATGCAGGAATTCGCCGGTTTACTAATTTTCAGGTTGCTTTTGTGCTGGTCCAACTCTAGTGAATTCATAATGAAGTGGCGATGTACTCTGAGCGCTTCCCCCATTTCCAGCGAAGATGTCGTTGACGGCTTATCAGCGTCATGCGAATACGTCGCCACGGTTTCAATGAATTTTTGGAGCTGAATAAATACTGAGCGTTCTACAATTCGATGCTGCTTTCATATCTCCTACAGATAAAGTTTACTACACTTCATGACAACCACATTCCATAGGATCTCAAGTAATCCTAAATAACGATCGTTGTGAAGGAACTTTCAGGGATCCTTAGCTCTTTAAAACATTGATGATCTCAGTAAGCTAATAGACAAAATTATTTTTTCAGCACGTGAATGGTAAGGTGAATTATCCATTACTGGATAAGCACATATCACCAGCGCCATCACGTGAGGGAAGCGAATCCGTTGATCATTATTGGGGAAGGGCATGATTCATGTCCTTGTGGTAATCGTCTTCAATCAATCTTTAGCCATCGATCATCACTAATGCATCCTACAAAGATATCTTCTTCGCTCATCGCGTGATAACAATGTCTCGCTCTCCTTATTCTAAGTGTTCGTTGCTACAAGAGAATTCCTGCTTTAAGAAGTGGGGGCGAAGATAAGAGTTTTAACCAATAACGAACCTCTATTATCCAAATTCTTTGCTCTTCATGCATTCATAAATCACATCTTACTGAATGGAAGATGAAGTGTTTATGCCTTATCCGTTCTACCTCGATGGAATCTGATTCTATTATTCACAATACTTTCGAAAATGTATTCGACGCTCCCGTATTGTTTGACGGACCCTCCTCTTCGTCTTCGACCATGACGAGTCGAGTTCATTCTTTGCAGTAACAGTTCCTTCATCGCCTTCAAGTTCCAGGTTATCGCAGGAGGCTGGCGTAATGGAGAATAACATCTATCAGACGCCTCCCTTTCCTAATGAGTGATCAAGTGAGTCACGAGCCAACTCCTTCAGGAGGTGCAAGATCACCAGTTGTGGAGAGAGTGTTGTGTCAAATAATCAATCTAGAGATTGAAAGCCACGCCATCCTTAACAAGTTATCTGCTTCTTTACATGTTAAGCACGATATTGCAGCTTCTTTTAGTATTTAAGTGAAATATTTTGTCCAAAAGGCTAAAAACACTTGTTTTTTATAGGTGGGTCACTGCTGAGAATGTGATTTTGTTGTTCATATTACAGAAAACGACAATTTCTATATTACAAGGCTTTGCTTTTGTCTGCTAAAACTCACAGAAATGCAAAACGATTAGCGTCGCGGAAGAAGCGAATCTATGTCCAGCCTGTTCAAGCCACCGTCACTGCAATCGACCACTTACGTTGTTTGGCAACAACTAGAGCATTCCAACTTATCGGTGGCAAGCCTTCAGAAAGATCCTTTTAGGGTTGTTGCATACTACCGCACTGAGCGCACCCGACCGCAGCAGACCCAGCGGATCGGAGTGGGGAAGCGATTAATGGATTGCTGCAGATTTCTTGTTGTCTTCTTTAACTCTAGAGGCAGTATGCCTACAAACAAGTAATCAGTGCATATATCTTTTGTTCAAAACTGCGCTGGATCTTTATAACAACGAATTTTGAAGGTTTTTATCTTAGTTAGTTTGTGGTGTGACTTTTAGGTCTTCTCATCTGTTAAAGTCCTTGTGTCTTCAATAGTAGTTGCTAGTGCTTGTAGACTTGCAGCAGTTTCCTAAAGACATTCATGCTTCACAATCTTGTATCACTTCAGTTTCACGTAGATTAATGTGTCAATAAGCCCGTTTACACCTTCATCTCTTACGTTCCTTCTTATAACTGGAATCAACGAGCTATGTACCATTTTTCTTGAGATTGGGAGCCAAAATGCGCGTTGCTCTAGCAAATTCGAAATCGATTTCCGGAGTGTATGTGTAATTCATGGGCGAGTATTGATTAGTCATAGTTTTTACAAAAAAAGCAACCGACACCGATAGTTCCTAGAAATCATTGCTGAACTGTTGTGCTGTGAATTCATTGTAACCTCAGGTTACTTTAAAAGAGTTCTGGAGATTGCTGTTTTAGAATGCAGATCAAGTTCACCATCCGAAAACGGTATGACACTATACATCGCATACCAGACCGTCTCCGTGTGAGCTTATAGTTGTCACTTTTAGCAATGCAAGGTATAGCAATTCTCGCTTCTGAATCAGGCGCTGCGTGACTTTGATTCTCTTCGGCTATAAACTACGGAATGAGTTTGCTCCCGAGTCTACAGCACGTTTTCTGAGCGCGTTGAAGAAAACATTGCAAAACTAGTGGTGGCTGGCTAGAGAAAGAAAACAATCGAGCACCTCATACCTTAGCTTACCCAAACTTCGATTTGGGGAAGGGGAACTGGGATGGATCCTTGTGCCGAGGTCGGAATTGCTTCTAAGACAGCCTATCAGCACTTCATATAGCATCGAACAATGTACACAACTTTTGCCAAGACTGAAGGCGCATACTCTTCGTATCACCCTTTTGATTTTGACATTGCGGCCTGTGCACTCTAGAGTTTTTGTCGCAGATGTTTTTTGAGTTAAGGCTAGAGGAGGTGGAGGATAGCTTGAGTCAACTTTCAAAAAGATTTTTGCTGTTTCAGAGCTTATAATTTAACCCGTGCTCAAGAGATGGGCAGAAATTTACCCTGTGAAGCAGGAAAAACCGCAGAAAAGTTCGCACAAATGGTCGTATGTCTTTGAGAGCCTTCAGACCGCTCCTATTGCAACTTTTGGTCCCGGTAGCCGCTTTGGCGCCGTTTACTACTTTTGCAGCCAAAAGCAATTATTATTAGGTTGTCTCATAAGTTTTTTCAATTCTGAATTTTTATCCCAATAAGTCACAAACCTCTCAATTATGATTGAAAAGCAGTACCTTCGATAGAGCCAAGTAAGCTCTATAAAATGGCATGTAAGTGGTCGCTTCCACTCCAACACATCGCGAGCTAGAAGCCGAAATCTGAGAATTTTTGAATGCCCAGAAAATTGAAAATTCTCTATAACTTTGTCCAAAGAAAACTTACCAAGTCCCAAACTTGCTCACGCATATACATCCTACACAACACATTCATATGCGCTGTTACCGTGTTTGTTTCTGTGCTAAATACCGCGAAAACCAAGATTATCAAGTTTCCGAAGAAGCGATGATGCGCTGTTTTCACACGCGTAAATGTATACTACAGGCCTTCAGTAATACATCGATAGATCTTCAGCTTTCCGGAAGCGTTAGTTCTTGTGAAATATCAATTTTAGCTTTTTTTGCTGAGGTTTTTTCTGTTTAAATCAATATTTTTCGGGAACTAGAGTTTATAGGAAGCTGGAAATTAATGGATATACCTCTTAAAGGCAGCGTACACCCAAAGTTTCACCTTCGATGCTTTTGTCATTCTGGAGCCTTTCCGTGCCGCTGATTACAGTTATGACATTGGAATCCTCCAAAAGTCCCAAAAAACCTCGATTTCCGAGGACCCTCTCTTCAAAGGGAGGACGAGTTTCCAGCTGCTCGGCCCCGTCGGCATGCAATCGAAAAGCAGCTGCAACAGCATGACGCCTGTAGTTGCAACTGCAAATGCTGCGTATGCTGTCGTGGCCTCGTCGTCCGAAGGAGGCAGAACGCAAGAAGCAACTGCATTGTTGCATCTGCTGTTGTGTTTGCAATAGCAGGTGCAACTGCAACTGCAACTGCAACTGCAGCTTACGCTGTCGTGGATTCGTCCGGAGGAGGCGGAGTGAAAGAAAAGGGGCGGAGTAAAAGAAAATTGAGGGGAATTTTCTCCGCTCAGAAGCAACATTGGGAGACCGGACCAACGCAGTTGGTCTTCTTCTGGGCCCAGTATACACACGGTATAGAAAAATCTAGAAAATTAGGGAACTTGGATTTTGGGTGTACGCTGGCTTTGAGGACTATAGCATACATTTACCTATGTGAAACCAGCACAGTATCGCTTTTTTAAAAGCTCGAAAATTTTGCTTTTCTCGGTTTTTAGCATAGAAACAAATACAGTAACAGCAAATATGAATGTGTTGTGTGGAGTGTATATGCCAGTTTGGAATCTGGTAAGTTTTCTATGGAAAAAGTTATAGAGAATTTTCATTTTTCTGGGCACCTGAAAGTTCTCAGATTTCGGCTTCTAACTTGTGATATGCTGAAGCTGGTACGAACACTTACACGCCGTCTTATACAGCTTGCCTTGCTCTATC